AGGTGGAAATGGAAGGAGAAGGCCTGCTGGAGTCGCCTTGTTTTTAGTGGGTTCTCTCCATGGGAAGGACTTGAATTTCTGTGCGAAAGAAGAAGTGGCAATCTGTTAGGTTTGCAAAAGGCGAGATGTATCGGAAGGAGCTGCTCGATGCTCGCAGAGCTTTGAGGGGTGTCAGGGAAGGCGTGAGTGGGCCGAGAAGCAAGAAGCAGAGAGGTGAGTGGGAGCTGCTATCAGTCCTTTTGAAAGCAACACACTGGTTTGTTGAGAATTCTCAAAGCGAGAGAAGGATGACAGTGTTGCAGGGAATTATTAAATGCAGGGTCAACGGAGTGGAGCAGCTGTAACGGAAATGAAAACAAGGCGATTCTCATTAGGCGTCCATTGTGGCTGCTTAATTGGATTCATTGTGTCTCCTGTAGGCTTTGCCCTGTTCTAAGCCCCCTGCTATACCCGTGGATAATGCTTTTGACTGCAGGCTTTGCTTTAAAGTACAGTCATGTCGTTTGTAATAGCGCGTATATGGAATTGGTCGACAGTAAACGCACATATTCTCCCCTTTTCTTTAAAATTTAAATCACAATTTAAAGTACTGACAAATGGTAATACCATCATTGGCCTATAGTTACTAGCAAAGGCTACCCTGAAACCAGTAAATCAACACGTTTTTTTTTTTTGCAGAAAAAGTGTCTTTTATGGACCATAAGTGGCATGGCGTGCCTGCTCTAACAGATTCTTATCGACCCAGCCCTCTTGTTTCGATTGGGGAGCCCGCTTACATCGGCATTCTTGCGCAGAGATAACCTACAGCCGCTTGATGATTTCACATTCTCTACGTGTTACGTTCAAGTGGATTAACCACACCATACAATTCATTAGGTTGTCTGTTCTCGCGAGGCAGCTGAGGCAATATATGAGGGTCAACCCGGTGCTGCTTCCCTGCTGTTTGGTCTGGCAAAAGTCTGTGTTTGTGTTCCATCCTCGCTGGTACACGGTCATTCACAGGAACCCTCAGCGATTCGCTCAGGATTAGGTGGTAGGATCGGGTTGCAGTGTGACTGTCAACATTGGCCACTGTTACTTGGGATTTCCAAACCAGCTCACCCTGCGAACGGAATCAACATACCAGCAAGTCACATTTATCTCAGAAGGGTGGTGAAGTCTGGGCCTGGGTTTTTATTCTTTTCAGATGGAAGGCGGCCAAATGAGACTCCCAACGTGCAGCAAACATTTCCATGCAGTTTTTCGTCACCCTTTTCTCTCTTTGCTTTTCATTTGAACTCTGACGTCCAAAGCAGATCAACGACAATGCCGGCACTGATCAAAGGCAGCACCTGAGTGCGGGAAAATCTGTGACCCGATGATAATTAGAACCAAGATGGTTTGGTTCAAAAATAGATTTTATTGGTCGTATAACCTAGATGATGTAGAGCTTATGGTGCAGTGGTATTTTTCTCCTAAGAAATTGGTGCAACATAGCTTAAAATGTTGTTTGGCAACTACTTTGTACTGGGTACGTTGATACATAACTCTTGCCTGCACATGAGTATTACAGTTCAGTTTTGAAGGGCAGTATTGTTACAGAAGACCAGCTTTGAGTGTGAAGTACACCTACATGATAAGAAGGCTCTGGTTTGATATGACAAGACTTGTTCTGCTCTGAGAAGCAGATACAGTGTGATCACAGTGTGATGTAACAGCAGCTGAATCTGTACTCTGTAGCGGTGGAGATTATGCCCGACTCGCTGCTGATAAAGCCGTACGCCTGGAAAGGCATCCATCAGGGCTGCTCCACGGAAAGAAGCGTCTGTCACAAAATCGATGGGTTTCCAAGAAGTCTGCTTCTTCTCTTGTTGTTTTTAAGCTAATTAAACCGTAGCATGCTTCAAGCTGCACCTGTCCAAACTCTCTTTAAACACTCATTCTGTGTCTTACAGTAGATCCCCCCCCCCTCCTCCCCCATGTGTGTTTCCAAAGTCCACTCCTGATTAAACAGAGTGTCTTTACAGTAAGAGGACAATAGGGCCCCAAATGTCAAATAAAAGCAGATTCAAAGGAAGACAAATGCCATGCACAAAGAAAATCTAATCAGCTCACTTTAATGGCTGATATAAAGCCGTGTCCTTTTGGCTCCTAGCGAGCGTATAAAAAAACAACAGCCTCATGAGAGATATTTCCAAGCAGCATGAAATGGACCTGGATGATGGTCCTGGAATCTTGTGTTATGATGAGCTTATTGATCCGGGGGGGGGGGGGGGCGTTTTGTACTGTTACTTGGGGGTGTATCCCGTATCACGCATAAAGCATTGGTATTGATCGCTGCACTCTCTGCCGCACCGAGTGCCTCTCACTGGTGATGGATGGAGGAGGAGTGCGAGGCGGGCGAGGGAGAAGAGAGGGAGGTTTGTAAAAAAAGAAAGAAAACAAAAACAATGCAAAGCAGCAGATCAACATTTCCCAAATGGGAAAGGGTGTTTGTGAAGTTTACTTCTCGTCTGATTAAAAGCAAACAGCACTTGTAGCTTTGTGATCGAATAAATGAGCGAAGAGGACAGAAAACCCCTGATTCATGGCAGGAGTAAATCGCACATATTGATTCTGTGTTTACAAGGCCATAAACATTAACATGCTTGACTTAACGACGCTGAAAAAGCACATTGTTCAGCGATGTGAGTCGGCAGCCGAGAGTGGGGAAAGCTGTGCTGAAATGTAAGACCCATTCTGGGTGGTTTGCTGGAGAGAGAGACGGCTGCCTGTAATTATTCTCTGATTCATTTTGATGGAGGTGCTGAGGGGAGCACAGATGTGTCTGAAAGGACAATTAACGTGCGTCAGAGTGTGTGTTCTCCACAGAGGGGGAGGTGGAGAGATGGTGGGAGACCATCATTTTTTTTTGATGTCACGTTTGCTTGACAAATTAGACATTGTGGAGGAAGTGCTCCATAATCTCCGACTAATCATCTATTGTTTTCATTTTCATACACCTATAGGAAAAGATAATCGTGTTGTGCCATTGATTATTTTCTAAGATTATAACTAGACAAATGATGTAAAGTAGAAGCAAAACTTTACATTGCAATGAGTTGAAATGTTTCAATTTCCTTTATGAATGGCAAACATCTTTTAAAACTCCTGTCAGTTTGTGTCAATTAAAGCGCCCCAGGCATCCAAAATAACCGTTCAGAAAAGATCAATCTCACTGCTTATTGTCTTGTTCGCTCGAGTAGGTTGTGTTAATTGCATGCGCTCTCGCGGGAGCTTAAAAATGACCCTTGTCACTGCGCTTATCAGATAATTTAAGTGTCTTTCAGCTCATTGTTTTGGTTTTACAGCCTGCAGCTTCTCCCTTTCCCTTTCTCTCATTAACCTCATTGCTGTTTTCGATGTTGTTGTTTTTTTTAACTCAAGATTTCACGACTGTACAGTCATTGCCCAATATGTAATGCCATACAGACAGAATAAGTGACTAGCTTGTAACCACTGTAGAGCGTTTAGCATGTGAAGAGCCGACCTTCCCTGTCTGGAGTAGATAACGACTTTGACAAAACTTTGGCACCGCGCATTTTAAATGCTGCATAAAAGTGTCAACGATGTGACGCAATTATCAACACAGTTCATGTACCGCCAACACTCTGCAGGCGCAATGATTTTCACTCTAAATGCATGTTGCTATTATGGTTTTCTTCAATACCTAATGGCCTTATTTGCATAGAAATGAGCCAATTTTATGCCAGATATATGCACATTACCTGATTTATTGGTGCAAATAGAGCTGGAGACCCGTTGCTTTTTTGTCTGGCAGCGCAGTTGTGCTTCATTTGTAGGCTGAGAAAGATGCTTGTTGTACTAAGATTGGAAATCAACAGATATTTTGTAATACTCAAAAGGAAAGAACACAAATACTATAAATATTTCTTCATAAGTAAACTGTATGAACAAACATATCACTGTGCATGCTTCCAGTTTCTTTAAGTTAGGAGACTTGCAGCAATCGACATCTGGATTGAACTCACCAAATCTGTTTGTGGTAAACCTTGTGCGCCGTTGTTTAAATGCATTCCCTACATTTTGGTCGTGATAGTTTAGTTAAAGTTGTATCTCGGTCGAAAAAATGTAAGCGCTTGCCTTTTCAGAGCGGCATCATCACTCGTAAAACAATCATCTCTGCATTTAGCTTGTGACAACTGCAACTAGCGTATTCATTTTTCTTATTATTTGACTATTTTTCTTTCTCCATTCTGAGATCATGAGGTTGCCACTGCTGTCTCTCTGTCTTTGTGGGATGTGTTTGCTCTTGGAGTCTGAGTCGCCCTCTGTGCTTGAGGCGGTGCTCACCTTGACCCTATCACTGGTTAAAGCTAACAGACATGGAATAGAGATAATAATGGATGGCCTATGGGCTGTTTGCTTTCACTGGAGAGGGGAACAAATACATCAAGAGAATAAAGTGAGAGGAACGTTATTTTGAGGAGCATTTTTTTTCAATTTAAACAGATATTTTTCAATCACCCTACCCCCCCCTCTCTGAAGTGTAGTGAGTGATTTCACCCTCTTTATCATATCATCTGTTCTTCTTCATCTCGCTTTCTCTTTCAGCTTCTCCTCCGCTTTGCCTCCCCCCTCGTGAATAATTTCCCCACCAACCTCTCGCCTCCACTCTGTGCTCTTTGTCTCTCTCTCTCTCTCTCCTCTCTCTCTCTTTCTCCTTCTTTCTTCCCCTCAATCTTTCTCCTTGTCGCTCTCGTTTTTTTTACTCCTGCATCTCAAGAGAAGAAGGCAACATGCTCTTTTAAAGCCGGTTGTCGTCTTACTCATTTTTCTCCTTTTCTCTCCTTCCTCTCCTCCTCCTATTCTCCACTCTCATCCCTGCAATCAAGACCAACACGCCCCTTCTGCTCAGACTTCCAACCCCCACCTCCGCTTGTGCTCTGAGTGCGCTCTCGATCGAGGCAGAACGGCTACAGAGGTGGCAGTGGGGTGGGGGGAGTCAGACAAAACCAGATGAGAATTGCCCCTCTAAAGGCGGCGTCGACGTCAGAGAGGGACGCTGTTCACATCAGCGGATGCGCGCTCAGACACAAAGACACCTGGCTCCTGCTTATTTGCATCCTCTCGTGCTCCCTCTTCCTCCTCGTCTTGCTCCCAGCTCGGAGAGTAAACACTCCCACCCACAAAAAAGAAAAAAAAAAGAGAGGCAGCTGAATCCCGTACTGAATTTTGATCCTTCTGAAATTGTCTTCTTGTTGAAGCCACACCCTGAGCTCATTTTTGTGGGGATGTTTTTGTGAGTTTATGCCACAGGTAATCTTGCACACTTGACAGGAAGCACTTCTTAAAGGGAGATGAAGAAAATCTGGTCCAAGAAGAGATTTCAGGTGAGTTTGCTACTTTCCTGATTTGCAATAAAAATGCATTTATTGATGATGTTTGAAGCATGTGCATTTTTCTTTATTCATAGGTTTGATTTTGAATTTGATGCCACACCCTTCATCTTACAATAAGATGCAAATATGTTTGATTTGAACAGATCGCAGTGGTAAAATAAGTATTTAGGGATATTTTGAAGGCAGTAAATTAACCTGAACGTTAAGTTCTGTTGGGAAATAGTGAAGTAGCAAGAGGGAAGATGGGAGAGGGGATGCTTGTTAGTGATGAATTTTGTCTCCAAAATTGCGGATAAATCAATATGACAAAGAAAGTCAGCTCAGGACACTATAGTTGCCAGGCGGAAAAAACACCTTTTTCAGTTATACAAACAATGCAATAAACGGTTGCTAAGAGACACAAAAAAATCCCAATAATACACTTTTATACCCATTAAAGGCAAACAATTCTGCTGTGCTGTTGTGTTGAGTCGTCAAATCTGAAGTAATTCTTTGTGGAAAAATGGAGGAGCAGATGGAAAGTGTGTCAGTAGGCTACACTCCATGGAGACAGGAGAATCAGGGCAGCCAGGCACAAGGGCTACGAAGTGAGAAGAGAACAGCATCAAGCTGATTTCTAATGGTGGCTTTTAGCTTTTCTGAATTCTGCACAAATCCGAAATCCTTCAGTCTTGTTTTTTTTTTTTTTTTTTTTGCTTTAAGCAGCAGAATAACACTGTAAGGATTTGGATTATACGCATAGAATATTTTTGAAGTTACTGCCAAATGCAGCCATTTCAAAGGATGCCGTTTGTGGCTGGCTCCTGCTGATATGATTGCCTCGAGGCCACAACAATGGAGATCATGACAGCGATGGAAGCTTCTAGTGGAGACTGACAAACAGCAGTTACCACCAGGCAACAGTTAATCAAACTGCCTGACCAAAAAAAACATTAACCAATGAGGAGTGCGCAGCAGAACGCGGGGGGGGGGAAACGAGTGTGAAATGAGTCATTTTACTTCGCACTTCGGCTACTTTTTATGCTTATTTTTTTTTTTTTCCATCGGCTGCAAAGCTGTGAGTCATTCTGAGGAGCTCTCCCTGGTGCTGATTGACAGACTGTCCAAGAAAGCAGTTTTACCAACTGCTTTATCAGCACTGACACCAACTCAAACATAGCCTTTTTGTCAGATAGTTTCTTTCTTTTGAAGAGAAAATATGCCCTGACATTCAGCCCTATGATTACTGGCTCCCTGTGGAATCTGAACTCTGAAACCAACACATCATGCTTTTTTTTTTTTTTTTTTCTCCAATGCCTGGAAACATCACAGTGTTAGACATAAAACTAGCTTACTTCAAATGAACCAAATATCTTGAGTTAGGTTAGTCGACATTTAAAGACCACCTTGGATTCAAAGCATGGTTTGACCCATTTTTCAAACAGATTTTTGAACAGATTTGCACAAATGCAAGCTTTGATTTGCAGCAGGACTTTATTTCCCAACTGACTCATTGTGCCAAACCTTTGCATAAGAATGTATAAACATTAAATGTGTCACGATTAACATTTGGAAATGTAAGCTATGTAAGAGCTCCTGGGTGAGACTTAAAAAGCTTTCAAACATCTCATGGCAAAGTGGTTTAATCTTCAAAGGACCACTTACCAGCTATAGTGGAGTTTTCTATGTTAAATCTGTGAGCCAATGGAGGAAGCAGAGGCAGGTTAGCAAGTTAGGACTAGGAAGGAAGCTTAAAAAGAAGTGGATCTATGAGTTGGGATTATGATGTCATATTTAATATTATAATGTCTGGGAAGGATACTTAAAAGATTTATCCCTGGATGTCCTAATGTGTTGAATGTGTCTTGCCACTGGAGTTAGCTTTTATGCAACCTTCAGGATTTAGTCTTCCAAAAAGGGAATATCTAAACCAAACGTCCACAAATTCCAGCACAAATCTCAAGCCACCGTTCTCACTCTCTGTGACAGTTAAAGACGTGACAGTACATTTGCAGTTTGCCCTCTTGTGTTTTGTATGAAAACAAAATCTCTGGCTGTCTTCGCTGTTAAATAATGCACTTTACTCTCTCTCGTTTTCAGAGAACTGGGCACTCCACACGGACATTTGGCAGATTAACCCATGGTGTGTTGTCAGTATGAGCTCCCCCCCTCGTTCTCCTCTCTTCTATTTGTTCTATTTCTGTTACGATCCAATGTAGCTTAGCTGTACTGTAAGCTCTGTGTTTATTTTGTCTTCTGTGTACAGCATGTGCGTCTGTTTGATGTATCCCTTTTAATAACTCTTGTATTTATGAAAGTATCGCTTTCTACATGTTTTTTTACTGCTTGCTGCTTACAAGAAGAGTGGGTTTTTATTGTTGTACATCCACCCCCACAGAGCAATATTTTATAATCAGGCTGTTGCATAAAATCAAGAGTGAATAATGTCTGGCCCTGGATGACTTATGGTGTAATATTTGGCAATATTTGTGCAATCTATGTGCCAAAACAAATCACGTCAACTCAATTTGAAGCTATCCACTGAAATATACCCCCTTTATATTAACACTACCGAGTTAATTTCTCTGCATAGAGCGCACAACATTGATCTAAATTCGATTCAGACGGGTGGATCTACATCCCCACACCCAGGAAAAATCACATGCAATGAGTTAATGGTGATTGTTCATTGGCTTTCTTATCATTAGGCAGATCTTCTGGCATTATCTAATCAGGATCTGACTTGATGTGAGGCGCAATGAGGCACAACCTGTTTTGTGGTTGTCTTAGTCCTCCTCCTCCTCCTCCTCCTCCTCCTCCTCCTCTTCCTCCTCCTCCTCGAGCTCTCTCTAACCAGTAAACATATCCGTCAGCCACCCAGCAGCCTGGCTGACGATTTTTAGACTCTTAATGGGTACGAAGAGGATTGGTCGTGTGGGTGAGAGGGATGCTGGTTTCCATAGTAACGGTGCTCTCCCGTCTGCCCTCTCTTGCTGCCACTATGGAAGCGAAGTTTTCCGCTCCTGCCGAAAGCAAAGCTATGGTAAAACCTGCCTGTCTTGATTCATCTTTTTTCTTATGTTCCCCTCCCTGACTTCATCTGTTCATCCTGCCGATGTAATGTGATCGTGCTCTCAAAGGTGTTTATTTCCATCTGTAGTTTCTGTTTCAGCCTCTGTTCCCTTTTCCTTTCAGATCATCATCCTCTCAATCTGTTATATTTCATTCGTCTGCACTGCAACCAGTACCCCATGTATTTATGTTTTCTTTCTGTTTTGAAATGTTTCACATTAAATTATGATCAGAATCAAATGAATTTCATCTTATGAGTTGTTTTTTGTTGGTATTTTCTTCATCTTCTGAGTTTGGTGTCATTTTCGGTAATTACCCGTGTACCAGGTATTTTCCAAAATGTTTGCCAGAAATATCCCTACATGTTTCACTTACTCTGATATTTTTTTAACTTTCTTTTCAAAGCAACCAGGTCAAGTTTTTAACATGCATGCCACCATTGTACAGTACCAGGGTCGATTTAAAGCTACTTTTTAACAAAGACTTTCTAATCTAAATACATCATCCTTTGGTTTCTGACCAGGCGCTATGAAGCCTGACGATAGCTTAGTGATATTTTAAATGCCTAACTTTTGATCAATCTAGTAACAGACAAAGAAACTGAGTTGAGGCGGGTCTTTAGTCTGCTGGCAAACCGCTACTAGGCAGCTGCCTGTCAGTTATCTCACCTACGCCCGTAATTATAGGAATGTATGAATAACTCTTAATAAAATCAAAAGAGATGCATTCTTTTTTTAAATCACCCCCATACAAGAAACAAGCTATTGATATCAAATTAGTTTTAAGCTTTAAGTGGACACTTGGGGAGCTGCAGTTATTTGCACTTCTTAGCATCAGAGCTTGTGGCGTGCTTTTCACATGCAGTCTCAGCATTAGCTTTTATTTTTAGCGTTATGAAGGTCGAATAGGTCAGTGGTAATTCAACTTTGATTTAGCCTTTTTGTTCAAGTGGGTTTTTATTTTCCGTTACCGTAAAACTAAATTGGATTGTAAGTGAGCTGAGGTGAAGAGATGCTTTGCTTTTGAAGTGTGTGAGTAATGATTTTAGCAGCTCACATTTATAGAGTTTTAAACCACATACCACTGAACGAAAAAGGGTCATTGCTGTGAGTCTAAACAAAGAAACCATGCTCACCCTGCTGCCTTGTTACCAAAGTCAAACATACCCTTACTCAAGGAAAGAACATTTATCCCCCCCCCCCCTCCTCTCATGCATAAGCTGTGTCTTTTTTCAAGCCACAGCTGGCTTCATGTCACGCTTGAGCTTCAACCCATTTATTTCACTCTGGGGGCTCTCCATGGCTCCTTTCAAGGACCCATCACACTCTGGGGCGCTAAGCAAATGTGAAATGTCATTTTCACCCCGACTCTGGTGCTGTTTTTGGCATCAAATTGTCCTTCCTGAACCCTCGCCTCTCCTTCCTCTATCTGAACTCACCCATGTGTTTTTATACCTGTTTGTTTCAGACTCTGAGAACACAGAGGATGAGACCACAGAACCTCAGATGGAAACCAAAGAAGGGCTCGGGAGGCACCAGGACAAAGCCGGAAGGAGAGGACACCCAGGTATTTTAATCTTAAATCCTGCTTAGTTAACGCACGACCAAGATTGGCTCGTCTTTGTAAATGTAATGCATATTTTTATAGCTTCAAACACTCCCAAATGATTGTACAGAAAAAGAGAAAAGCAGCATGCGCACATTCAGCATCTTTTTATGAGGCGAGAGTTGGTATGATTTACTGCGGCACCACTATCATCTCTGCCAAAAACACACTCGTACAATATTATGATTCAATGCCGATTGATAGATTTAATGGACGGTTGTTACCAGCTTGGCCCAAGTCGTGCGTTGGATAGAATCCGATATGGCAGGATGCATTAATCCATCCTGGTGTGATGCAACAGAGTGACACACTGGCCTAGTTTCCAGCAAGAGAACCTGTCTCAGGTCTGATTCTCACTGCGGAGCTCCACAGGGAACACAGCCTCAAAAACTGGGCTGTTTCTGCTCCATATTTGAAACTAAAATTAATAATAATTCCACCTTGCGTTGTGTACTTGAGCTTTGCCAGATTAAATAGAGTGGTGGTGATTAGCTGAGTAAGAGCTACATTAGATTCAGGGGATGGCGGCGGAGAGTTGTTGATGAGCTGGAACGATCAGCTGATTCCACTGACTTCAGAGAAATGCAACTGATTTGCGTCTTTTTACTCAGTTTACCATCTTCGTTAAATGATTTATTTTCTGCAGAGTGGATTGTGTCGTTTTGAGATTTCACAGTTAATTCAAGTTCAATTAAATGCTCGGAAAATCATTCAGATATGTCCATTTTTGACAGCTTTCCAAAAAAGTCTTTGACAACTTGTTTTCCAAAACTTCAATATTTATAATTAATCATATAAGGAAGACGGAAGCAGAGACTTTTACACTCTTACTTACAAGTGTAAGTTGGGTACTTTTGCTTGATAAACAGCTGAATTGTTTACCCCATTGAGGCTCTCTTGGTGTATTAATGGCATTTTTTACTGGACTAAAGGCAGGTTTGATGAAGTCAAAAGACTGCATGGTATTTTTTTCACAAAGAGGGAGCAATTTTGGATTCACTCACTCATGATCTCCAAACTCCAAGTTGTCTCAAATGTAGGACGAGGCATCAGACAATAATAACCGTAATAAGCTCTTTCCTGTCAGCACTGCAAATATAAAAGGATTCCTGAGTGAGTATTTACTCATTTGTTAAAGTGTTGTTGTCGTCACAGCTCCCGCATGCCCTCACACCCGTTCTTAACCAGGCTACAGGATGTCTGAATATAGACCAGAAATATTGACACCCTTCTCCTCCGGCACCAAGAAGATGTTTTATATTCTTCCCTCGCTCATACGTGGTGTTTGCTCTTTCTACACTTTCCGTGTTGGCGTGCCCTCATCACATCCCTCTGGAGACGAGCAACAAAGGAATCGAGAGCGAATATTAAATAAGGGAGGGATGAGGTGATACATCATTTGTTCCTTTCAAAGAGCAGATTCTGGATGCCTCTGCTGAATACAAACACTACGCTGCCTTGTTGAACCACAAACAAGATCATTTGTCTTCCTAAATTGAGCATTTCTGCAGGAGATTTGGTTTTTGTGTCACTCCACATGGACCTCGTGTGCATCCAGTCGAAAAACAAGACAAGATTCATTTTCTTATTTGGTTTCAAAACAGCAGTAAAGGCCTGATCTGCCTTCAGGTAGAAATGCTGCAAAACCACCTCGTATGGAAATAAAAACAGACCTTTAAAGCTCACTAGTACAAGGCTGATATGGTTTGTTTTCTGGTTGTGCGGCCGAGTCAGGATCATCCATGATTGCAGCAGGAGCCTGTCGTTTAATATCCCTGACACCATCCCCGCTTCAAGGTTTCTGTCGTTAACGGGAAGATGCTGACTGCTCTTTCTTTTCGCTGCCTAAAGCATTCCTGTCTCCGTTGGTCATCACTAAAATGTCAATCATTACCTGATTTGCGACGGGGGGGGAGGATCTCTTTAAGTGGTGCACGCTCCACAACGTAGCCATTCCCCTTTCTCTTTCATTTCCTGTCTTGAAGGAATCAATAGACTCTTTATCCAACGGGCCGTTTTTTTTTATGCTTGATGTTGTTCCATTTTCTACCAGCTCAGGGTTCCTGCTCTTTTTCTAGTTCATGGAGTGATCCTTGAAAAAAGACAGGTTTTGAATAAAAGCCTTGAGTAAACCTGCTTCTTTTATGCATGTTATGCTTTAAAATATCTATCACTTGATATTCAGTTGATTAAAGTTTGTGTTCGAACAAAAATGGATTCCAAAGTAAATTTCATTACATCATGATCCATCTCTTTATAATAAATCAAAAAGAACGTCTTTGATCATTCAAATTAAAGTACACCAAGTTCGTCTCTCCTGACCCATCCCTCTCTCTTAAAGACGTTATGTGACATTCTACAAAGTCAAGTCCTCAAAAATGTTTGATTTATAAGGCGCTAAATCATAACAAAAATCATCCCATGACACAATGAAAGCATGAATTCTGGGGATCAGGGCTGTCTGAGTATCTAAAGCCTCATAATTCTACTTAATCTTTGCCAATGAACTCCATTAATGTAAGCAGTCTACATGACTTGCTCCTATATTACCATAAACACACAGAAACTATAGTCCATTCAGAGTCAATCCCACCTACAGTGTCCTGCTGTAAATACTCACTAGAACTAAAAGTGTGTGTCTACCAAAGTCTGCCTAACATCTCTCTAATGTCTCTTTTCTTTGTCCAGGTGAGGGAGGAGGGATGATGGACTATAACCCTGATGCTCCTGATCGCAGAGCCACCCTCCCCGGAGGCTATGATCCTGTGGTGGAGCGGGAGCTCCGCACTCTGGGTTCCCGTCCTCCAGGGTCCCACTTCGACCCCACAAACCCATCCAGGCAAGCCCTCGGTGGGGCTCCCGCTGAGGGGGGGGCCCCTGTGCGTCACCTTGGAGTGGAACCACTGATCCGAGCATCTCATGCTAACCTGGCCCGGCCTGTTCAGGGCTCAGAGGAAAGTGTTTCTGTAGGCAGCGACTACTATGGGAGCATGTTCAGCCTCTACAGAGGGAGAACATTTTCCATGCCATTATAGCACATGGCTTCTTATTTGAAGGATTCCACTAAAAAGACATGGCCACAAACTCAAATTGCAAAGAATACTGATACATAAGACAAGACATTTTATCATACATAGACCCAACTTGCAAAAATTTGACTCCTTTTGTTATAAGTTGCCAAACGTGTTCATTTTTCTTAACTTTTGTTTTATTAGTTCCAAAATGTTATTTTGAAGTCGCACTTTCCTTTGACTCTGTGTTTTGTTTTTTTGCTGTGAGCGTGGTTGGTTTCAATCTAACACTGATGACAAGTCTTACAAAATATTATCGTTATGTTTCTTACAGCCATTAGAGAGAACATGATGGTACAATCAGCTTATATATATACATATATATATATATTATTCAGCACTTCTGAAAACTGTGATAACTCTTTTTAGCCACCGCATGTTTTGTTGAGCAGCCGTGCACTTTTGGATTAACACCTTATCTTTATAAGTTTGCTGTGGCATGCATGGGTTGCAGGCTTGGATCCAATGCTAATGTTAGCATGAATGCTCACACACATTTTTTGAACATGTGATTCACAGGTTGTTTTTAGGCATGATGTTTTTGTATTTGCAGTTAGAGCAGGGGTATTTCTTCTGAGGTTTTGTAAGATCTCCTGTTGTAAATCTGCTTTTTTTGTTGCTGCACAGGCCAATAATTTCCGATTCTTAATTTTTTTTAGAGTGTCTTCCACTTCACCACAGTTAGATTGAGTTCTTTTGAGAATCTTTAATGTGGGAAACATTATTTTACTTCTATTCCTTTTTTTACTCTTAACGTTTTACACTGTCTGATCTCTGAAAACGAGAAACAAAGAGCACAGACAAATCACAAAGATCTCACTGGAAATACAAGATAAAATGACACAAATGGAGCTTGATCTGCTTCTTTAGAACTCCTCCAATGCCTACAGCAACTGCACTACAGCTCTAACTTCACACCTCCCAATCCTCACCCCTCTAGGAAACAAACTTCTACAAAATCCTCCCATCATGCTTCTCTGTCTTCTGACCAGCCAACTCCCAGCACACACAAAAACAGCAGCAGTACCCCAAACCAAGACCTGCACAAAGCAAAACCTTCTGATCCTCAATCTTCTAAAACAGACCAAGCATCAAGTGTGAACAGTGTTGTCATGACACCAAAAATGGCTCGAGCAGCACCCAAAATCTTCGACAAAGTCCTTGCTTTTGAGGAGCGAAGGGCTAGCGTAGATCTGCCAGGGGGAGTATCAGGATCGGGCCTTGGAAGAGCAAGTTCTTTTGACTCAGACGACAGCGGAAAGAAAGCTGGAGGCCTCAGCAAAGAGGAGGGTCGACTCCTGCAGGGGGTCGCCCAGAAGCGAGCGGCATTCAAGCAACGGGCCTCGTCTTTAGAGGACAAGACTAGCTACTCCCAGAGGGTCCAGAGCTACCAGAGCAAGTTCGCAGAGGAGCTGCAGAGGATCAAGAAACTGGTGGGGAAACCAAGCTTGAAGAAGGCGTATTCCACTGAGCAGCTGTCTCAGAAAGAGAGGCTGACCACAGGGAAGCTGGAGCCTATTCCTCCGCAAGTTGTGCAAAAGCTGGAGGCCCGGGAGCGTGCCCTGGGGGACACCAAAGACGAGGAACTACAGAATTCCCAACAGGCCAAAGGCAAAGATCTAGGAAATCAAACCATCCAGCCTGAAAAGGAGAAGATGACACAGCCAAATCTACCAGTGAATATCTCATCACAAGGAAGCACAGGGAAAATCTCTGTTACCATGGAGACTGCACCAGATAACCACCAGTTACCAGGGAAACCATTGCCAACAGCTAAAAGGACAAGCATCACCAGGTTTGGCGATTATCTAAACTACAGATTTTTTCTCTGTTTCTCAAATCATTTGTGAATGTTGTCTCGTGATTTAGTTTCTTGTCAACAAATCTTGACTCAAAATTAAAGTTATTCTACACTACTTGAATATTCATACAACACTTGTCAGTGTTACATAACAGTTTTTTTTTGTCTTGGCACACAGGGAAACTCTACAAAGATCTCCGGCAGCTGACAAAGACGCACTTGTTGCAACGTCTCATAAATCCTCATCCCCCATTAGAGATCTGGGGACTGGACCAAAGCGGGAAACCAAGTTGGACGACCACAGGTCGCCAAGCCCGAGTGGGAAGAGAGCGTCTCCATTACTGTGAGGCAACCAGTGTCCCAGTATCCACCTAAGCCACCCCGACTCACCCCTTCGCCCACTCCTTCCATCAGCCCGCTCATGAAAAGGAGGAAGGCGGAGGTGGGGCGGACGTCGCCGGCCTTGAAAATGAACATCCCCACGATCCTGGTGGAGGATGAGCCCATGGAAACAGAGTGTGTCCCAGAAAGGAGCAGCGAGGGAAGAAGGACCAGGAGGAAGGAGGGGAGAGTCCACAAGACAAGAAAGGACGATCGGTTCAACCAAGGAGTCCAGAGGAAGGTAGGAAAGACTTCATGATGACTGTTAAGAACCGAATTTAGGCCAAAAGAACCAGTTGCATGAAAAGATTAACGTTGGATCCAACTCTTAACTGCTAAACGATTTAGTTCCCCTTAATTACTACAGGAGGATCATCTGATGACTCCTACCTGTCTGCTGATGAAGAGCCCGCTGAGGCCCCAAGGTTTGAGAGGCCTCTTCAGGACACCAAGGCAATCAGCGGTGCAGAGGTCACGCTGAGGTGCATCATCACAGGGAGCCCGCCCCCTACAGGTATAACTGAGAACTTTCCTATATATAGTTTTGTGTGTCTGTTTATGTCTTAATATTTTAAATAAATATATTTTGGAAGCATTTTGTGGATTTTATAAAGTTGATGTATGTCCTTAAACTTATTTTTCTTTTGAATGAGAAATAGATTTTAAGAACTTAGACCACACTAATAAACCCACAAACCTTTGCTTATTTAATCTTTGTTGTGTTTGCTTGCTCTTGCTCTTTTGCTCTCTTATTGTTTACTGAACAAAGAAAACATCCAAGTGTCCTTTTACCGAAGAAAACACAACATTTTTTATGAGAGGAAATAAAATCCAGTTAAAAATCTGTATCTCCTCCGGCTGTTCAGCTTTACTCAGTACACATCTTCGTCAGGTGGATTGTGCTATATCAGTGTTTCAGTGGGAGGTGTTATTCATTTCATTGTTTGTGTGAACATGTTTATTCTCTGCCTCCTCAGTGACATGGAGGAAGAACAGCGTGGAGATACGGAGCGATGCCTTCCATGCGGTGAAGTCTGAGGGTGAGCGGCACAGTCTGCTGATAAAACACATGAGGCCGAACAACGCCGGGTCGTACTGCGTCTCAGCTGTCAACCCAGCGGGCAGAGCGTCCTGCGGCGCCACCATCTACATCCAGTCAGGTGAGACGAGGCCAGAGATGGAAAAGATAATCTGACACGTGAAGGGATCTGCTGTTTGATTTGTTGTTACAGTGGCACATTTCGGAGCATGTAACATAAATATAAATGAAGACATGAAAAATGACGCCGTCCTCGAACATGTTGACTCGCATGCTTTAATCCACTGCCAGCCCTCCTCCGCCTGACATTCTCTCTTAACGACTACAAAGGCCTGCTGGAGCTCAGCATCCCGACTGTGGCTCCTCGCAGCGATAGTAACCATGGCAACCCATTAATTCTTAAAGGCACTGAGCTCCCCCTCGGTGCCGATTGGGAGAACGCAGAGCTGCCCCGTCACATAAAGGTTCCCCCGAGTCTTAAAGGCAGCCATGGCATTCAGAATCAGGAGTAAACAGAATACATTTTCTTTTTGGAAAAGATTCCTGATGAGAATGTGTCTGAGGTGGACGTGTGTTCACACTGTACAGCATGTGTGAGTGTGTGTGTGTGTGAAAGCTTGAGTGTTGATTCAGCTCACGTTAACGCATCCTGCACTTCTTCAGTTTTGTCAACAAATGTGAGCGTACACTCGGCCACAGGCTCAGCAGCGGCTCAGGGCCTGTGTTGCCATATTAGGCCAGTGGAGTCTAACTTGCAGGAGTATTTTTAGCCGCCCTCTTGTTCTCTCGGGTAATTGCAGTCTGCTTTATGTCCCCCCCCCCACCCCCCACCCCGTGTGAGATTACTGCCCCAATCATAGAGTTCTTCATCTCTGTAGTTTTTCACACTGCAGAGTTTGGAGTTGTCAAAATGTGGTGGGAGATTGTGTGAGTCACTGTAGCCGGTTGAGCTGGCAACCGTGGAGATTTTTGGCACTGTGAGCCACAAAGTGAGGGCGAGAGTGATTGAATAGCTACAAAGGAAGGCGAAACTCAATATGGTGAAGAAGATTAGCATTGTTGTTTTGTCGTTTTTTTTTTATACATTTGACAATAAAATGATCCTCTGTGGAGGCCGCTTTTAAAACCAATCCCTCAACATTGTACGAGAAATACATAAAAAAAAATTGTTTCATAGGCACATTCTCTATTGTTTGAAAATGTATGAGAATATGAGCATGACAGTGACGGGGAGCAGAGGATGGGGCTGAAAGGGAAGGTTAGCTGGCTCAGACTGTGCAGCAGTTGTGTAAGAGTTGGCAGGTTTGCGTAAATACTCCGGGGAGTTATCCCCTGGAGCACAGACGCAGCTCAGAGATGTGACTCTAGGTAAGTTATTTTTCCATTTTAATGCCAGTGCAGTGACATTTCAACAGAATACCTTTGTGCTTATACGCTTAATAATCCTGCAAAAATAGTTTGTGTGTGAGGAGGATATCTTTAAAATCGAAATGTTTTAATCTATGAGTCAGTTCTTGCATGTTTATTGAGGTTATTTTCGTCTCTTTGAGCGTTTTTCCACCTGCAGATTTCAGGAAATGATCTTTCTCCTCCTGTTTTAGACCGCTCAGTTAGTTTAAGAGAAGCACTCTTATCTCTACACCCTGCTGCTGGTCTCTCTCCAAAGGATGACAAGTCTTTATTCAGTTCCTCTGATGGATATAATTCATTTTCAGTTGTCACAGTGTTATCTCCTCATAGCAGAGTTTGAGGTCGAAACCGAGAAAGAGAGAATAAAAAAAGGCAAAAAGAGAGAAAGAGGAGCCGAAAGAGAGGTAGTGTGGTGTGTCGGCGTTTTATATTTCTCCATCCAGAGGTGAATTCATTCTGACTTTACTGCCAGGAGTCAAGACGCAGCGTCTGCTCTGGAACTCCACGGGAATAAGCAAGTGATTGGGTCAGGGATTAAGGGATTAATTCATTATCTGTGACTTCAGAGAGGTCCCCACTCCCTACTCTGAGAGTGTGTGTGTGTGTGTGTGTGTGTGTGTGTGTGTGTGTGTGTGTGTCAGTGTGTGTCTGTGTGTGGGAGCAAGTGGCCCACTCATATCGAACTCATCTTGGCAAAGAAAGTAATCTCCAGAAGAAAAGAGCAAAGCCTGTAAACATGGTCGCTCTGACGGATTGTAAACTCCTCAAGCTTTGCCGAGCCTCCTCACTGGTGGCGTGTTGACCATATCTCAGAGATTTACACGTAATTACTCTGATTAAAAAAGTGTGTAAATCAGAGCCGACTCTGTCATGAACTTCAGTTAAGTGAATTAGATTTACTTTCACACTTATGTGCGGTATTTTTCTCCTTTTTTTTTTTTCTTCCAGAGCCGACCCACGTGCAATGTGGGAAACTGGCCTCAGCAGTCAGAAGTCCCATCCAGTCAGACGAGGAGTATCTGAGCCCTCAGGAGGAGGAGGCCATGGAGCTCGGGGAGCCACCCGCTCCCATTAAAAGGGTCCACTTCACAGAACCTCCGTCCTTTCAGGTAGGGGAGTCTCAGAAGTGGCACATTTATTTTGTCTGTTATTTTGTGGTAATACATGTTTGAATGTACGGCTGCAGATAACAGCTGTTTATTTAGGTGATTAAAATCTAATTTTTATATAAATCCTCCTTCATTTATCTGTCAGAAAATGCTTAGAAAATAAACAGCAATTTCCCAGAGCCTAGGGTTGCATTTTCAATTTGCTTGTTTTTATCTGACAAACAGTGTAAACCAATCACATTTCAGAAGCTGGTAGGTTCGGGGGGGTTTGGCACATTTTGATCGAATCAAAATTAGTAGATGATGAAAAAAGCTGCCAATGAAAGATGTTGAAACAATGAGTTGATAATTTGATCTTCTTTCTCTTCATCCCTTCAGGTCCTAGTGCATCATTTATAAAGTTGTCTTTGTTGAACAGGTGGCACCGTGTGATCAGAGTGTAACTGAAGGTCAAGATGTTGTCATCTCAGCGAGGATCAGAGGGCAGCCCAAACCCATGGTTTACTGGTCAGACACCTTCCCTGAGAGCTTGATTACATGCATAATTTTGTAGACGCCTGAAGCTATTATCTCACAAAGGTCGCCCACTGCTTCCCCTGTCAGACACACAGACGCACACAGCGCTTTATTAAACACCTGTGACTGAAACATCTGTGACAACCACTTTGCTCTGACCCAGGCTGAAGGACAGAGTCGCGGTGAAGACAGCGGGGCGCTTTGCCGTGCGGGAGCCGGGCGACAGCAGCAGCAGCAGTGAAATGAGAATCAGCTCTGCTCAGAGGTCAGACGCAGGACTCTACGTCTGCAAGATCATCAACGAGTACGGATCCAAGCAGGCCGAGTGCAGAGTGGACGTCAAAGGTTACTATAAGATAATTCAACTGTCTTGAACAAATATCTCATTGCAGTATTTTACGTCTGTTTTTTTTTTTCTGTATTTGATCATAGCTGGAGCACAAACAGCTCTGCAAATCATCCGGGAGGTAGAAGACATGGCGGTGAGAGCTGGAGAGTCGGCCATGTTTGAATGTTACATGAGCGGTCCTCCAGATGTTGACGTGGACTGGCTGTCCAACGGGAAGCTGATCCAGCCGGCGCTGCTCAACTGCAAGATGCATTTTGACGGCAAGAGGTTGGTTTCTTCATGCCCTTTGGTGACAACTATGTGTTGAAAGATTTTTGTTGCATGCAGAAATGTTGGTTTGCTTCATTGTTTGACTCACTTGTCATACTGTTACATTGCCTACAGGTGCCGTCTACTGCTAAACTCAGTGCACGAGGATGATAGTGGAACGTACACCTGCAAGCTGAGCACTGCCAAAGGTGAGCTCCAAACACTGTTCGCTTCAATCTTCAAAGAAATGTTGAAAAATACATTTATGTAAGCATGTTGTCTGATTGTCTCGTCATTGATTGGAGGTTCTTTCTGTTTGTTGTTTTTTTTACAAGCTTGAAAAAAATAATTTGTCTGCAGAATTCAAGGATTATTTGGTTTATAATTAATCTGAAACCTATCTAAACATATCGCCACTAGATTGAGTACATTATATATTGAGTTAAAAAGAAAGATGTGAATAAATGCTAGATTTGTGTTGATCAAAAACTTATTTGGATGGGACGTCTCTTTGCATTTACAGAGGAATTAACGTCAAGCGCAAACCTGAGAGTGTCCCCGTCCAAGGAGCCTCTGTTCACCCGTAAACTGGACATCCTGGAGGTCATTGAAGGTCGCGTCGCCCGGTTTGACTGCAAGGTGAGCGGATCACCGGCTCCGCGAGTCACATGGATGCACTTTGGTAAGATTTTCCGGCGTTTCTTTCTGACGTATAGGCTGTCGAGATGCAGAAATGAGACGCCTTGTTTTGACGGTGCGTTAAACGTTCTTTCAGAGACGAGAGTGGAGGAGAGCGATGACGTTTGCATCCTTCAGGAGGGGGGCCGCCACTCGCTTGTCATCACCCACGTGAGCGGCGACACAGAAGGCTTCTACACAGCCGTCGCACAGAACATTCATGGAAAGTCTGAATGCACCGCTGAGCTCTACATGCAAGAACCTCGAGCTGCCATCGCCTCTCACTTGTAAGGAAAATAATCTATACGATGATGTATTTGCGTTAGTGTCTTTTTAAAAGCTTTAAAAAGGCAAACAGATGATTTATGTTTTCAAGGGCGAGGCAAAATGCTTCTGGAGAAAGAAAATACATTTAAAGAGGCGAAAGCACGTAAAAACAAAAACTAAACCTGGTGACCTCTCAGTTCTAATCTCCTTTCTTTCTTCCAGGTCAAAGCTGGAGAAGATGCCTTCCATCCCCGAGGAGCCCGAGGTGCTTGAGAGCGAGGTGGAGAGGAGGACAATGCCCGACTTTGTCAAACCTCTGGCTGACGCTGAGGTGATCGAAAGCAAAGAGGTCATGCTGAAATGCAAAGTGTCTGGGCTTCCCTACCCGACCATCGGCTGGTACCACAACGGGAAGCGAATCGAGAGCAGCGAAGAACGCAAAATGACCCAGCGTAAGAACGGGAAGCGACCACAGTCAAAGTTGAGGAATTGTTCTGGTGGAGATGAGAAAATGAAAACGTGTGTGTCTCTTCTTTAGACAGGGATGTCCACAGTTTGGTTATTCGGAGCGCTTGTCACTCTCACGGGGGCGTCTACAAGGCCGTCATCGCCAATAAAGTGGGCAAAGCCGCCTGCTACGCACATCTATACGTCTCAGGTAGAGACGGAGGATTCATTTTGAATGCTAGAGTTGAGATCATGCAGAATATGTCATTGGATATGTTTTCATTGTGTTCTCATTTGAAAATAGACATCGTTCCTGACCCTCCTGATGGTCCTCCAGTGATCGAGGCTATCACAGGGAAAACTATAAGCCTCAGCTGGAAGAGACCAAAGAGGCTGGACACTTCATGTGGTAAATAAATGAGACGTTTATGGTACCAGTTTTCATTTGTTGGCTTACAGCCCTTGCAGGGAATCATAATTAATGGTAACACATTTAAAAAAAAAACTAAAGAGAATCCGTTTTTTCCCGCATCTTAAGAACCTCACTGTATTGTATTGTCGGCTGAATTTAGTAAAGGACCATTTTATGTGTTTGCAGATGCTGCCTCCTTACTCTATGTGGTCCAGCAGCAGCCTCTGGGGTCGATCCAGTGGTCTGTGGTGGCATCAAACCTTAGAGAGACCAACTTCACCGTCACCTCGCTGTCCAAGGGAGTCCGCTACGCCTTCAGAGTTCTGACCTCTACCGGAAAGACAACGAGCAAACCCTCACCCTCGACTGACCTGGTCCAGCTGCTGGACAGAGGTTAACCATTCAAACTGTTACAAATGAATGTTTGAAGTAAAATAGGAGCTCTCTTTGATTTTGGTGTCTTTTAATCTTGCAGGACCTTATCTGAGAAAAGCCCCGATCATTACGGACAAACCTGACGTTGTTTATGTGGTCGAGAACCAACCCGTGTGCATCACCATCACGCTGAACCACGTGCATGCAGTCGTCGTCTGGAAAAGGTTAGTCTCTGCATCTATTATCACAAGTGACGGCTTTGTAGACTGTAGAGCGTTTTTTTTATTGGTGCAAAATAACACAAGCGGTAATTTACCGTCATCTGAGGTTTTGCAGAGGCTGCAGCTGAACGCACGAGTTTTAGATCTTTGTTTAAATGCTGTGACAGCGTCTGAAGTGCAGGAAGCTCATTTCAAACAATGGGCTGCAGAGCTCACCTCTCAGGAGCCGGAGCACTGCTGGTTTTCATCTCATTTCTATGTACTTCAGAGAGTGTTTTATACATCGAAATAGATTATGCCAACACACTGATTCTCTCAGGAATCAAGAAGGTGTTTGTTACCTGGTGGTTTAATTTCTGGTATCCTTGTATCAATTGTATTGTTCCCCATTGTCAAATCTATACCCTAAATTTGTTCCATTTATACTCTCAAGTAACCCTTACAAAATTCCCTTCTGTCTATTTAAGGAATACAGTAAGTCGTGTTTATAATATGCACTGTCCCTGAGAAAAGAAATCAATATCAGTCTTTCTTTTTAGTCTCCTTTTAGGCCTTGGTTTCTCATGTACAGCTCTGACTGTGTCATATTCTCTCTGCTGTTCCCAGGAGAGGGGTGGTGTTGGTCAACAAACCGGGAGTGTGCGAGATGAGCATGCCGGACGACGACCAGCACACCCTCAAGCTTCAGCGAGTCAAGATCACCGACATCGGTCAGCTGGTGGTCACCGCCAGCAACCAGTTTGGCAGCGACCTCTGCACGCTGCAGCTGGCCATGTCAGGTCGGTGCAGTTCAGGCGGGGCAGCACACGCTAAATTTAGAGCCTCTGCTCGAATCCAAAGAACTTACTACTGCTTACTTCTGACAGCAGCAGAGGCCAACAGGGGAGGGGAGGCCAATGTTCCTTACTTTCGGACTCCTGCCCCGTTTATTCATACATGAGTTTAAAAAGGGCAGAGTAATCTTATAAGAAAGAAGACAAAATAATGTATAGCTTCATACAGCACATAGTATGGTGGAAACTGTCCTGCAAGACCTTAAGCAAAGACTTCCAGCTCCACTATCCAGAAATGTTATCAACTCTAATTTATTGTTTTGTCATCATTTCTGATTCTTCTGCAGTGCCTCCAAAGTTTGAATCCATCATGGAGGATGTGGACGTGAGCGTTGGGGAGACGACCCGCCTCGCTGTTGAGGTTGAAGGGAAACCAGACCCTGATATTCTGTGGTACAAGGTACGAGTCATGATAAGGGATGTTTTTATTAATCGCAGAAAATGAAGTCAGTTATTTTGTCTTAAGTCATCAATGATAAAACAACATGACCGGTGTCGCCTTGGAAACATACGGATGGTTTCTTGCTCTTTTGCAGGATGACATGATTCTCACTGAGAGCAGCCACTTCACGTTTGTGTACGACGACCCCGAGTATTCCCTCGTCGTCCTGAACGCCCGCCCTGAACACTCCGGTGTGTACACCTGCACCTCGAAGAACCTGGCCGGCTCCAACTCCTGCAAGGCTGAGCTCACAGTTCATAAAGGTCTGCAACAGTACTGTCTGCAGAGGCAAGAACCATGCAAGTTCTCATGGTTTGGTTTGATATAAATGATCAATAAGTTGTTCATATATTAAAAAAAAGAAAAGAAAATGGAGCTCCAACAGGCTTTCCTCCATTCTCTGTTGGTATTTATTTGAGATGATGTCCGTTCGCCGATGTACTACACTCAATATAAGCTAGCCGTTGTTGAAAATTGCACCTCTAAATCTACACCATATGGGCGTTACCACACAGCGTTTTGAGACTACAATATGAAACCATCTGTCTCTATGCTGGCACACACTTACAGCCAAACACACACACACACACACACACACTTATAAAAGGCCTCTGTTGGTCCCCGCAGAGCGACAAGAAGCAGCCGAGCCAATGGAGGACGAGGGAACCATCCTGAGGAAGATGAGGCGCTTGACGGATTATTATGATGTCCATAAAGAGATAGGGAGGTGAGTGTGTGTGTGTGTGTGTGTGTGTGTGTGTGTGACCTACCACACACTCATGCTGTTTGCATCCAGTCACACAGTCATTACATGGACGTTAAAGGCTGTTTGAGGGTCGGGCTGTGAGGCTGCACCTGCTGAACGACAGCAGACGAGAGATGAGTCACCAGACTGAGAGGAGGAAATACATCACATCGCAGATGATTGTTTTGGTCTGACTTGCTGTAGACAGACATTGAATGTGAATTTAAGAGCGAAAAAACAAGCAGACGGTAGAAACTGTCACACAAGACACTCAAATACACGTCCAAAGGTTCATTTCTTCTCCACGACATCACAAAAAAAACTCCCAAAGAGAAAGAAAGTTTGTTTTCTTGTAACATGGTTCTTTCATTTTCATTCAATTAGACAGCATGCACGTCTCACACAAAAATATAACTGACCTGTTGTTTTAAAGCCATCAATGAGAGATTGTGGCTCTTACAACATGTCAAAGATTACACCTCCACTCTCTGATGTTCTGAGCTTCTTACTGTCATGAAGGTTGAAAGCTCCAAAAACTCTGTGAGCTTGTCGTCTGACCTCATCTTATTTGTCTTCTGTTAAAAATGGACAAAACAACCTTCCATGCTTGAATTAGTTATATGGTGACTCGTCCTGCTGATATAAGTCAGAACAGAAGACCAACTACTTGTTCTGTACATATTGAACCCAACATGTTTTCCCTGTTTGAACGCAGGGGAGTCTTTTCTTATGTGAAGAGGGTGAATCAGAAGAAGGGAAAGGCCGAGTTTGCTGCCAAGTTCATCTCCGCTCGAGGGAAAAGGAAAGCTGTGGCCCTCAGAGAGATGGAGCTGCTGTCTGAGCTGGACAACGAGAGGATTCTCTATTTCCATGACGCCTTTGAGAAGAAGAACGTGGTGGTGCTCATCACAGAGTTGTATCCTTTTACTGCACTTTCACTTCCAGTGACAGATAGACTGTTTGGCACTCTCTCTGGGTCCTGTTGTTTCTAAGATTATACACATTCTCATTATATGATCATATCTTTAATTCAGACATTACCCTTCCTTCAGCCCTCTTTCAAATGTCCTGCGCTTCATTGTGGAACACGAGTGCTCTTAAATGCATCTCAAGGACACTAAAGATCCACAGCATTAATCCTAATGTCTTCTGCAAAGCCCTGGAGGCATGAATGGAGTGCAGCAGCGCTTTTTCTCTCTGACTCATCGCCGATGACTGGAATTAGCCAGAGATGGGATGTGTGGGAGTTTTTGCTCATTTATAATTCATTTCTCATGCACCTACCCACCTACCTACCTACCGCTTGGACTCTGCAGGCGAGTCGCAGCTTTGTTGTTTTTTTTTTTTTTCTTTCCTTAACTGCTGTGCGAAGATGTCACGAGGAGTTGCTGGAAAGGATGGCCAAAAAAACAACAGTGAAGGAAGTGGAGGTTTGTTATGCTGCTGCTTACTGCACTGCGCTAACATTATGTAACATGACTTTTTCAATTCACTCCCGCCTGTTTCTCTGAAGATCCGCAGTAGTGTGCAGCAGGTTCTCGAAGGCCTTCGTTATCTTCACCAAAAAGACATCGCCCACCTTGATATAAAGGTATTAATCCATCACGCTAACACTGTTGCATCAAATTCATTCATGTAGTCTCTACTTTACAGTGTTGCTTTTCATTATTTTCCCCCTTCAGCCAGAAAATATTCTCATGGCAAGTCCTGGGAGCGACCAAATCCGCATTTGTGACTTCGGTAATGCAATTAAACTGGAGAAGTCGGAGGAGTTTTACTGCAAATGCGGCACACCAGAATACGTCGCACCGGAGATCGTGAATCAAACTCCCGTCTCCACGGCAACAGACATATGGTGAGCCACCTGTTCCTGCAGGCACTGCCTTGCTATCTGCAAGAAATAAAAAAAGTGTTCGGAAAATGTACTTGTCACTCATCAGTGCTGCTCTCCCACAGGCCTGTTGGTGTCATCACTTACCTCTGGTATGTTTCATAGCGTTCTTACGCAGTATTTGAATCAGATTGTGTGTATTGTGTGCTTTCATTGTGCATATTTCAAAGCAAGCATCTATATCTTATATCTTTTTCTTTTTTCAGCTTGACTGGCGTGTCTCCTTTTGCTGGTGAGAACGACAGAGCGACTGCCTTAAACATACGCAACTACAACGTGGCGTTTGAGGAGAGCATGTTTTCCGACCTCTGCAAGGAAGCCAAGGGATTTGTCATCAAACTTTTGGTGGTGGACAGACTGTACGAAGCGTCGCACTCTATCTTTGACCTTAATCATGTATTAATATTCTGTTGATTAGCTCCCTCTCCTCATGTCAAAAATGTTCTTTCTCCTAGGAGGCCGAGTGCTGTCGAGTGCCTTCGTCATCCTTGGTTCAAGGTTAGTCATGATTTAGCAGAATATCACCCCGCTTCAAACTCCTCCTGTGTCACAGGACTTTTATTTATATCTCAAGCAAGGTTAATGGTGACTCTGCTTGTTTTGTCTTACAGTCACCAACGAACAAGAGCATCAGCACAGCGATGCTGAAGCAAGTTTTGTCTAGAAGGCGATGGCAGGTAATCCCCCGTTGATGGCAAATTGATTGCCTACCAGTTTATTCCATAAAGACTTCATTTGTATCCATCAGAAAGTTTGGATTATTCACCAAACTTCAGTATTTTCTTCATGAAGCTTAAACAGAGTACAGTGAACCTCTCAAACTGTCAGGATGAAGCTGAGATGAATGCTTTTCTTGTCTTTGTAGATATTACTTTTCAGTCCATTTCAAATGAGCAACAAACACTTTGAGTTAGCAAAAGTTCTTCCTGACAGAAGCAGCCCACTAACTCAGAATAAATCAGTTTGACTCGGCACTTTGCATATGAAGTAGGGCAATTTGATAAAGAAGTGCTCTATCTCATGTTCTCTTTGGTCTTTTTTTTTTTTTTCCAGCGCTCTCTTATCAGCTACAAATCCAAGATGGTGATGCGCACGATCCCGGAGCTTTTGAATGACTCATCCAGCCACGTCTCCATCGCTGTGGCACGGCACTTGAAAGAAGGATCCCCTCCGCCCTCCTCCTCCTCAGACTCAGATGCAGATGTGGATGAGCTCCCCTTTATTCCTATGCCCCTGTCCATGGTCTTTTCCAGTTCTAGGGTCTCCCTTAATGAGATCCCGGGGGACGAAGACGCAACTATGCGGCCCAACCTGGCTACAGATGGGGCAAGGAGAAAGGACAACGTGGAGATATCAGGCACAAGAGGAGGGGCCGACAAAAGAGAAAACGATGAGGAAGAAACTGCTAATGAGGAGAAAATGGAAAAGACAAAACGAGCTCCTCTTCAGAAAGGATCAAGTGTGGAGTCTGAGGATTCGCAGACAAAAACCCGGCGGGCGACTATGAGACGAGGCAGCTCTGCTGATTCAGCACTGCTCCTCCACATCGACCCAGAAGAGGGAGAGTCAAATAAAGATTCTGAAGCAGGTAACAAGAGCCTGAAAAAAGCTGTTTCTATGGAACTACCCAATCGCAGCCCAAGCCCCGGAGCGGCACAATTAAGCCAGGAGGATTACGCCCTGAAACTGGAACTGATGAGACAGCGGCTGCTCAGGGGAGGAAGCAGTGACAAAAAGATGAGCGGTCTTCGAGGGCCTTTGTTTGAAACACTCGGCATGGAAGATGAGCGACGCACGGGGTCACTGGATCGCAATTTAAGGAAATCTAGAACGGCAACCTCAACGCTCACGAGAGCAGCGTCCTCTGAGACTCCTGGTGAGGACATGCCAAAGACCAAAGTGTTTCGTAAAAGCACCTCCTTCACTCAGGGCGATTCTGAGCCCATGCCCCTGCACCGCAGGTTCGGAGCCCCCTTAGAGATCCCATCAGCAGGCAATGGTAGCATCGATGGGAAGAAGCTTCAAGAGGCGACCTCAATGTCAGCACTAACAGAACAAATATCTCTAGAGTCTACCTCGCCTATGAATAGGACTTCCTTTATATTCCCAACATCAGGAAGATCGGACCAACAGAACAATGAGAAGGGACTTGAGCACACACAAAGTATGAGGGACGAGATTACAGAAAAAAGGACCAAAAATCAGTTAGAACAGGCAGACAAAATAGAATCAGAGTCTAGATCCCCCTCTGTAGTTACGCCTATAATCGTTATCGAGGAGGATGACGAGGAAGATGACAGGAAAGAGAATCAGGAGTTACATATTGATGAAAAAGTTATGAAGGGAAACGAGGAATTGGCACAAAAAAGCACGGCGTCATCTGCGCATGACGGTAACCTGCAATCTCGAACATCAGACAAAACCCAACCAAAACAACAAGCAAATTCAAACGATACAAAGTCTGCCGATAACCCAACATTGCCTGAACATGCAGCAGTGTTCGCCAAAGTAGCAACAGGGGAGAGATCTCCTGTTTCCACATCATCAAACCCTGATCTCTCCGCCCTCCCCCGCCAGCCCGTGCTCCGAACAGACATAAAAGACATCGACTCGGAGGAGCTCTTTGAAGCTCGGTTTAAGAAGAGGGAGTCATCCCTGACCCGCGGCCTTCGAAAACTGACCAGAAATAAATCAGAGGAAAAATCACCTGTGCTCAGCCGAAAAGGAGTGGAGGGGGGCGAGGAGGTGTACAGGCCGGGGCCGAGGGGGGCTCCGCTTGAAATGGTGTCCAGAGGACTGCAGGAGAAGTCCAAATCTGTCCAGGATCTAAGAGAAGAAGATAAGGAAACGGGGCTCAGTCTGATGGGGAGGTTTTCCCTGCGGAGTAAGAGGTCAACATCTGTCGATAAGAAGGGGGAGAAACCAAAGGAGGAAAAGCAACAGGATGTGAAGGAAACTGCAGTTAGTAAGAGGGTTTCATGGGCAATTGGTCGCAGCAAGTCCCTGGATACAAAGGAGCTGAGCAGTGCACAGAAGCAGCTGGATGAAAAAGAACAAAGGAAAGCAGACGAGTCATCGGTTTCTGCAATGAGGAGAAAGTTTGAGTCCAAAGTGGCTGGAATCTCTGCCAAAATCAGGACCCAGTCAGAGGAGAGGAAGGATAAAGACCCCGAGGGCAGTCAGAAGGATCCGGCGCTCAAAGATTTGACGAAAGTCTCGGACTCCCCTGTTATGGCAATGAAGAGCAAGTTTGAAAACAAAGTGGCAGGAATTTCCAGCAAAATCCGGAGTCAATCTGAGGAGCGAAAAGAAGACACAGAAGGGAAGAGGACACCCCTGTTTGCTCGCCATCGTCATTCCCAATCCGAGGGGCGTGGGCTCAAAGGAATGGGCATCCCCGAGAATCAACTCGCCAATCAAACCGGTGCTGGTGCATCCAAAGAATCAATTGAATCCACTTCGAGCATCCAATCTGAAAGTGACAGGCGATCGAGGTGGGACAGGTGGGGTTTATCGAGGGGTAAGAAAGACAAAACCCCTTCTCAATCTGATCTGCCGTCATCCGTCCCCAAAGAGGAGGGCGTGTCCAAGAGCCAGCAGTTCGTCCGCTCTGCCTCGGATTTCGCCCCCGTGTTTCACATCAAACTGAAAGACCACGTCTTATTGGAGGGGGAGCCCGTCACTCTGAGCTGCCTCCCAGCTGGAAGCCCACATCCGGAAATCACATGGATGAAAGGTTTCTCATCAAACAGTCTCTTTTGGCGTTGTCGTTCGATACATCCAGAAGCATCTGTTTGTCTTCTCACTGCTCCATTTTCTCCCTTCCAGATCGCAAACCCCTCGAGGCGGAAGACCGACTCAGCCTCGTCTCCCACCCAGATGGCCGTCAGCTTCTTATGATCATGAAGTCCAGCCGGAGGGATGCTGGAGTTTATGAATGTGTCGCTACCAACCCCATAGCGACCATCACCACCTCCTGCACGCTCTCCATAGCCTGTAAGTATCCCACAGTGAGTCCAAAGTTCATTTGTTATTTAGTCCAACGGCAAAATGGAGATCTCTGATGTCAGCGCTTGCAAATTGAATTAGTTCTTTTTCCAGGAGTTTGAGGGCTTCTTTCCTTTTATGGTCATACAGTAATTATCAGTAAAGTATGATGTATTTTACCTAATTACATTTTTAATAGCAGGAAGAATGCTTTGACTATTAATCCAGCTGGCATGAATATTAATGTCAACAGATTAGCTCCACAGTAGATTGATTTAATGGATTCTTGGCTTCTCTGGTGTTCATCATGTATAAGAATAAATGATGCTTCCTGCAATCTGGCAGCTCATATTCAAGACTGCAGTCATGCCTTTGCACAAATGGTGTGTAATGAGAACAGCGCCGCTTCCATTCACAGCTCACAAATGCAATAATAATAATAAGACCTTTGAGGCGTCGGCGGGGGAACGTATTTCTCAGCTGTCTGGTTCGATCTGTTGCATTTGAACTTGATTTGTTACGGCTTTTGGACATTTAGTGTGACTAATCTCAAGCGATGGAGCTCCTCGACTTCCCCTGATAATCTATCAGCAGTGTGAAAAATACTTCTGACATCTTATCTCGCCTGAACAAATGGGTTCTTTGTTTCTGCAGGTGTTCGAGCTTTATTGGAAAATGCATTTTAAGAATTTAAGGGATGTACAGTTTTTGTGTCACGTTTGGTTTGACGTAACGACAAACGTATCATGAGAAACTGGAAAAAAAACTGAGCATCAAACACGGACAGTGTAAACCACAGCTTCATGAGACAATGACCGTCAATATGTATCAAACAGACAATACGTCAGGATGTTATTGATTGAAAACTGGGTGTCGCAGTAAAAAAAAAAAAAAAATCACCCTCGGAAAATGAGTAACAATGCAGGCACCATGCAAAGATTACAGAAACTCTTTTTTATGGAAGCTTGGAAAGGACATAGTTCAGTCTCGCCCGTGTGGTTTAACAGTCTTAAAGCTTTGCACTCATACTCATAAAAACACTGTTGTAGTCACACTTGTAAAACCAAACCATGCACAATTCACAGTGATACTCCCTGCACACGACACACACACGCCCTTTAAGCCTCAGAACAGTGAAAAGAAACTGCACAGACAAGAAGAACAACTTTGAGCTTACAAAACCCCACAAGAGCATCTTCATTTTTAAAAATGTGATGAAAAAATCTCCGATACAGTCTTCATGCCACTTTACACTGATTAAAACATGTTGTTTTTTTGCACTCCTTTTTTAATTTCCGACCTCCCTCTCGCCCTTCTTAAGGTGTCCCAAAACGGCCCGGGACCCCTGAAGTCCCCCAGACTTACAACAACACGGCCCTGGTGCTGTGGAAGCCCGCAGACACCAAGTCTCCATGCAGCTACAACCTGGAGAGAAAGACAGAAGGTGGGGGAGAAGGGACTTTTTTTTATTTATAATTTTCTCGGATACCGTTGTTGTTGCTTTTTAAAACTACATCCCCTTGTATTTGATTGCTGTCAGGGAAGTGAAATAACACTCAAATATGTTCGCTCCAAGAAGGGTGTCAGTGTTTGAAAAGCTCTGACAATATTTGTCTTTGTAGCGAATGTGGAGAAGGGCTTGTGGAAGTAAGTTTCCTAATCCACAGACACCAATTAGAGCGAGAAAATGAGTCGGTCCACGAGGGAATACAAACTGTACTCAAACTGCTGCAGAAGCTTTTTGTCATTATGCAACTTTAATCATAGTTATGTCATAATGCCGGGCGATGAAAATGAAGTCTGCAAAACTTGAAGAGGCAGACTCAGAGCTCGTTAATATTTATTGAACTTTTTGAGCCTGATGGGCTTCTGGCATGTTTTACCTCGTCGCCTCATTCTGAATTACATCTTTACCAGGCCAGCGTAGACGTTCTCATAGAAAAGTGCTTCAGCAGCCAATGAACATTTAAGTCAGGTCTGTTTTACGGTGGATGAAAAATGAATATGATACTTTGACAGATCATTTCAGCAGACGGTATTAAATAGTTTGTTTAGACATCACAGTTTACAGAATAAATGATTTAAAGACTTAAGTTTAGTCTGTGAACATAGAGTATCTCCAGTGTATTGTTTGACAACACCGCCATCTGGTGTTCAACTTGTGAACTGCGACAAGCAGCTTTATTCAAAGAGAACAAACCCAAACAAGATTGTTTTTACTCCACTTTTTACATTTCCCCCCCCAAAATATTTAATTATAAGCATCTTTTGATCTAGTTTGGATGCCTAAATAAATAAAAAATATATATATTCAGCATTTATTAGCCTCTTCTATAACTCTTGATTTATTCACAAAGAACATAATCATTCATTTCTTTGGCCCGCTCTTCTGCAGGTGATTCTAAGTGGCTGACTGTAGCCACGGGGGTTGTCGACTGTTACTACAACGTCTCAGATTTACCACCAGGGGGCACCTTTCGGTTCCGTGTCTGCTGCGTGAACAAGGCAGGACAGGGGCCACACAGCAGCAGCTCTGCTCCAGTCAGCCTGGACTCCACAGGTACATCTGCACACTGTTCAAATAATAATAATTATCTGGATATTGGTCTATATACAAAGAATAAAATGATGCAATTAAAAAGTTAAATTCTCTGAAGAACATATTTTTCACAAGGTTAGGAATCAGATGTGTTTCATTGTGTTTTTGTTTTTTTCAACAGGTGGACGAGCTCCGCCTGCCGTAGCTGTTGTACAAACTGCTCCAGCTCCACCTGTTGTCACCTCCTCAGTGACTGTACCTCCTCTCAAACCAGTCCAGAGCAGCGCTCCGAGGACAACCGTCTCCACCATCGCCTCCACCTCCACCTCTCCTACCCATGCAGTCTCTCCTTCTGCTCCACCTGCAGGAGAAACAACCAGGGACGTCCAAAAAATAAACCCCACTCTTCCCGTGTCACCCCCAGTCAAAGCTCCTCCTCCTTTTGTCCTCCCCAAACCACAGAGTCCTATAAACGTGGTGTCTCCGATGACCCAGACCCCACCTTTATCCCTGCCTCCTCCTCTTGTGACGCCACCAGCAACTCCCCCCAAACCCACTGTGGCTTCTGTGCCTCAGTATGTCCCAACCACCACCGTCACCGCTCGAGTGGCCCCGAGTCCTGTCTCCTTTACCCCACAAGTGCTGCAGAGCTCCAGCCTGAGCCCCATCGCTGACGGGGCCAATACCCCCACCAGAGCAACCCCATCAGGACGAGCTACACCCTCCACTACTCTACGTCAGGGGGTGCCACAGAAACCGTACACTTTCTTAGACGAGAAAGCAAGGTGAGAGACATGTGGAAAAAATCTAAGTGAGGCGACTTTTTAACAGGAATATATTTTTTTTTTTAATCAGTCGTGTAACATGATGTAAAACTCAACGAGTAAACGCTTTATGACTTATTTAAGACTAAAACAATTTGTTGCTGATCTATAAAAGCAGCCGTGAAAACCCACTTAAAGCAGACCTGAGTAGCTGCCGATCCCCATGAAACAAGTTAATTACATTTCTTTCATTTCATGCTCTGCTTTATTGCCTGATAATTAATCACACTTTCAGACCTCCCACTGACTGACGCTCAGACTGCTGATCAAGGGACATCTGTACGGGTTTTATGTGTTAAAGTGATGTTACTTAAGTTGTAGTTGTAGGCGTGCACGCACAAAGCAACAGAGGAACGAAAAATGTGATTTCTATCTGCATGTTTTTTCTCAGGGGTCGTTTTGGAGTCATACGAGAGTGCCGCGAGAACTTGACGGGCAAAATCTACATGGCTAAGATCATTCCCTACAGCCAGGAGGACAAACAGGGCATCTTGAAGGAGTACGAGATCCTGAAGTCGCTCCACAATGAGAAGGTCATGGCCCTGCACGAAGCCTATGTGACGCCGCGCTACCTGGTGCTGGTGGCTGAGTACTGCACGGGCAAAGAGCTCCTGTACAGCCTCATAGACCGGTAGGCGAGGGGATGTGGCACCTCAGAAAATCCAAAAATGTTCCATCAACTAAAACAAATTAAAAACGTCCTCTTCCTGCTTTTGACAGATTCCGATACTCTGAGGACGACGTCGTTGGCTACTTAGTCCAGATCCTGCAAGGGGTCGAGTACCTCCACAACCGCCGCGTCCTCCACCTGGACCTGAAGCCCGACAACATCATGGTGACCAACCTGAACGCCGTCAAGATCGTGGACTTTGGCAGCGCTCAGAGCTTCAATCCGCTCAGCCTCAAACAGAGAGAGTCAGGAGCAGGGACGCTGGAATACATGGGTGAGCACAGAAATCCACACAGGAATAAAAAAATGAATCATAAAGTAAACCTGCCTTTTAAGTTTCATAGATCCAACTCGATGACACTGATCTTAACATTTCGAATTTCTCATCCTCTAACAAATTGCAATCCAAGCCCCTGAGATGGTGAAAGGGGAAGTGGTCGGGCCTCCTGCAGACATTTGGAGCGTTGGAGTCGTCACACACATCATGTGAGAGAGTTCACTCAGGTTTATTTCACTTCACTTAAACAATCAGCCGGCTGATGGTCTCACAGCTCTGTGAAACGCTCAGGAAAAAGCATGCTTCATCTCTTCACATCTACCGAAAGACGTGCAGCTCAGCTCAGTTTTACATTCAAGCTTCCTAAAACAAACATGTCTGAAGGGATTTCATACAGGATTAGTTCAAATTAACACAAAAGATGTGATCAATTTCTTGATATATTTGATGTTCACTTGATTGTGAGCTCAATCAAATTAACACAAAAAACTTGAACGGTGTTTTACTCATTTTTTAACCTTGATTTTTGCTTTCTTAACGACAGGCTTGGTGGGCGGTCGCCCTTCGAAGATAAAGACCCCGTCCAAGTGGAATCCAAAATCCTGATGGCCAAGTTTGACCCCTCAAAACTCTACCCTAATGTGTCCCAAAGTGCCTCTGCCTTTCTCAAGAAGATGTTGAGCAGTTACCCATGGTGAGGGCATACGCAATGTTCACTTTACACTCCTGTTAAGAGAAGAAAGAAATCATGAAATTCTGTCGTCTGTACTTTCAGGGCTCGCCCGACGACGCGTGACTGCTTCGCCCAGGCCTGGCTGCAGGACTCGTACCTGATGAAGCTGAGGAGGCAGACCCTCACCTTCACCTCCGGCCGCCTCAAAGAGTTCCTGGTGGAGCAACAAAGCCGCCGCGCAGAGGACGCCATCAAGCACAAGGTGCTGCTGCGCACCTACCAGAGCTCACCCAAGTCTCCGGGCTCTGGGAGCACATCGCATGTCTCCGGCCCGAAGTGAAAACGCAGCGACGCACATTTGTGTCGGAACTTTTTGCATCTTAAGTCGTCTGTGAACCAACTGTGCATGAAAACTGTCCGCCTGGGGATGTGCAGACAGATGGAAAAAGCAGAAATATCTAAGGAGAAAAGCAAGGGGATTAGGTTTTATTCTGGATGACTTCAACATTCAACACAAGTGGGATTCAAAGAGGGAACCAGAACATAAAGAGAAGCAGACACAGTATCCTTTTTTTTATGAATGGATGAAGTTCAGACCTGCCCGTTATCCTCTGAAAGGACACAGGACGATCTCTGGTTTTCTTTGATTGCACAATTTCTCTGCCACATTGTGAGTTCTGAAATTGCACATTAGAGAACCGCTGGTCTCCACTCTGCACGAATCAGCCTGGAACATTAGCGTGCATCATTAGCATTTCGACTCATTTATGTCCCTGAATTTAGTAGTCAACAACTCACGTGAGTGTACCATGACGATTTAAGCTGCTAATTTATTTTTGCATTTACTTCTTCATTTTAAAAACCAAAAATAGATTGTTTACTTTTTCATGTTAATTTATTTGCATGTGTTTGCGCGCGTTAGCATTTTAGATCCACTTTTTGAATACCAATGGAAGGGGAGAAAATCCAAACAAAAACAAGGAGAGTCTTTGTGATCGGTGTTAGGATTCAAGAAGTACTCAATTTGAGGATGAGCTCGGACTCTTTTGGTCTAACTTCTCGTTCTGTGGTTAAACTGAACCCTAAGTGTAATAAAAAGCAGTCCGTAAGTTGCTGTTGTTTCTCAGTATTACCCGTCGGATCACCCAGTCAGTGCCTGAATCGGATAAATATCCAAAATCTTGATCTTGTAAACGTGTCTCCATTGGTTCTAATTTACAATCGATGAATTCTTTGAACATGTCAAATGTTTGCCTGCAATATTTGGACTTTAGAAACACACAGATGCTTCTAGATTCTTACACACACGCGTACATGGAGAACATGCAGTCCTTGTAATAATAGATCGTCTCTTGTGTATTGATCTATCGCAGTGTTCCTTTTTGTAAGAATTTGGACGGTTGAAGATTTGTAAATGTACCAATTTGCGGTGTTTATATGTGGAAAGAAGTTGAAAATGTTTTTATGAGATAGTCTGTAATAAACTATTGATACAATTGAGAAAAGGAATTTGTTTTTCTCTCTGCATTGATGTCTTTTTTTTTAGGGATTTTGAAATGCCTCCTGACATTGACACATTAACGTGATGATTAACTTTCTAACAAAAGGCCTCGGCTATCGTCTCTCCTCTATGCTCCCTGAAAACCTCAAGGACCCCTTATGATGCCTCGAGTCTGCTACGTGAACCTCTAAACAACCCATGTGGCAGGAGCAGCTCTTTCCATCTCTGTGACTGTTTTCCTGTTCACTTCATCTGCATTACACAAAAGACAGAACAGAATTCTTCATACAAAGGTTTCAAACACTCAGAGGCAGCTAAAGTAAATAAAAATGAAAGCAATAAAAGAGGTGAGAGCAATAAATACAGGTTAAGAAATAAATGTGCATAATACTTTAAAAAAGCTGTGTCTAATATTTACTTTGTATGGGCTACGCATGCAGCAAGACTTCAGTCAGCTTCTGTAAGTTTTGCGAAGAAAAAAGTATTTTAAAAAAAGCGCAAAGAAAGAACTGCACTTGTGCGACGCTCCCTGACTTCATGGCGGTTTCAAGGGGACCCAAACTGGGCGTTTCTTTGCGTCTGCAGAAAGTTTGACTCTTGTAGCAAGTTTTAGCAACAGCTGTCCTTACACAACAAATGTGAAAACACATCAGCTACATGTACACACTATTCAGTCCGTATGTGGTGAAAACACAGCGAGTGAGGTGACGCTTCAGCATCATTTATAGTGGTCGGTGTTCTCTGATGTCACAGGACTGTCCACTAGCTGAGGCTTGAGCGACGTGTTGTCTTTAGTTCGTCCTTTGACGCCCTGATAACGGAAAGCACAATGTTTCTGTCTTCTGTGCCTTTTTGTTCAACTCCACTGGTGTAAATGGCGTCGTGTGTGTCCTTCGGCTGTGTGCAGACAACATATTCAGCCACGGAAAGTCCAGTCCCGTGGGACTAAATACAACTTTATTGACACAGTGTCGCGTCACACGACAGCAACGACGCTCTTCACGCTGCAGGAAGTCGACACATAATAAAAGAAAACAGAAAAATTGAAAGATAGCTAAATATACCTAATTAAAATATGACGAATCATTCTTGTTTGAGCTATGACACAAATGTAACGAGAGGCAATACCTGTAGGACAATACAACAACGAAGACTTCTTAAATAAATCCAAACTAATCAAATCTCACCCTGTAGGCCGATTCATCGCTCAATGTAAACACTTCACTTTCAATCTAATAAACAATAAGAAAGGGAAAGCAACATTACTGTAAACCTGATTCAATATTTAGTCAAATATGAGGATGTTTGAATGCCTTTAAATGTTGTTTATTTATTTATTTATTTAAAATAGGGACAGTGCACATTAATGAACATAAAAAATGTATAGAAATAGGCTCATTTCCATCTGTGGGTCCCTTGGCAGGTTGGTGGTGAACAGGTAAACAAAGTTACATAATGACAAAACAACTACATAGACCAGGGGTGGGCAACTGGCGGCCCCCCATCAACCCTCAACGTGGCCCTCAGGTCAATTTTAACATGTCGATTAACGGGGAACATGATGAAAACATGACTAAATATGCCATGAAATCATGAAAACCAGAACTATGTCCATAATAATATTTGATCACTGGTATGTTGAGTTAAATTGGAGACATAATTGACTGTAATCGTTTTTGTATGCTACAATTTGGCCCCTCTGGCAGTGAGAATTAAACGAATGTGGCCCCTTGCTGTGACCAAAGTTGCCCCATCCCTGACATAGACTGCACAGCGATTGTTGTATTGATTTGATATTTTGAATAAAGTTTATATTAAAAAAGCTTGATGTGTGATCGTAGCTCCTTATAGGGTTTTTATATATGTGAAGAATATGAGGCTGCTAACTGTATTAGGAATCCATTTAATCACAGCAGGTACTCTCACCTTTAGAGATTGTGCAGTATATTAATGTCTCTAGTTAGCTGACAAGGATGCATGTAAAGTAAAGTGTTGCTGGTGTTTATATGTGATTTTACAAGTTACAGATGGAAGTTTTGATCAACTTCGTTCGAGGCTACTTTAGGGATCATCTTGCAGCCCGCACACGCCAGAAGAGGGAGTGTTGCGCGCCACGGCCATTCCCTCACTGCGCCACTTTAAGTGAAATGGGAAGCCTTGAAACCTCCATGTTTGTATCTTGAATTCGCGAGCGAGAGTTGAGCACCATATTGAATCAAAGTTGCCCATCCTGCCTGTCAAATGTTGCCGAAACTTTTCGATTTGGAAACTCCCAGCGTGTGTTTCGACCACCCTCCGCAGAGGAATGGACGGACTTTAGGAGAGTTGTTGCGATGTGTCCCGAGCCGCTGCAGCCTCGCTTCCGTTCATGTTGAGGTGATTTAATGCAAGCAGCGAGTTGGCGAACAAATCTCTTAACTTTCAAGTGTGAGCTCAGCACTCTGGAGCAGACCTGGGTGTGATGGACAATTCGTCCTCAATAATCACACAAGTCAGCCGGGATGAAGAGGGAAACAAAGCCGCAGGCGAGAGGGGTAAGTGTGGATTTCTTCTTTTTGAAAAAAAAAAAAAAAAAAAAAAGTTTTGCAGCTCCGCAGTGGAGAGTTCATCACCCTCAACTTTGACAACCCTCACTTTAAACTTTGCTTTAATGTGACACACTTTTAACAGTGACTGCACCGTTTCACCTTCATTTAATGTGGACTACAAGTAGGTGAAAACTGTCACCCTTCTTTTTTTTTTTTCTTTCTGTTTTGCATAGATTATGGTTGCGGCCCAGATGAAGCAAAGGAAGTGACGTAACCAAGCGCGAGCGAGATAGTTGTAATATTTTATTTAGCAAATTGTTTGGCAAATGTCAAATATAATAATGGCAAATATATAACATAATATCAAAATATACGACTCCCATGTATTGTTAGTTTAACGTTATGTGCGCATTAAATTAAATAAAGTAAAAAATAATAATTTAAAACTGTTTTTTTTTAATCTAAATATCGTAATGACATGACCAGACTAAGTTATTATTTACTTATAAACAAGAGCAATTTATTTACAAATTGTTGTTTGGACACGTATTTACTATTTTTTAACAATAAAGTTATAAAAAAAAAAAAAACATTAAAAAAAAAACGTAGATTTACCCTTAATATTTACAGTCTATGCTGCAAACCCATTGACCCCCCCCCCCCAAAAAAAAAGAAAATAAGGTTATATTTTTTAATAAATGAAAACAACCTCTACAATATAAATATGATAAATAATTTAGCCTGTAAAATACAAATCTGTTGCTTCAGTGTTAATATAATTCAAAATATTGTAAATGCAAATACATGCTGCTAAGAGAGACTTCTGGTTATATTGCAAATGTAGAAATATGCTGTAATATCTTAAAGTCAACATAAACCCACTTTGAAGCCTTACATGCCAATTTGGCTAAATAATTAGGTATAAAAAAGAAAAGAAAAACATTGTTAGAAGTAATAGTGTAATAATAAAATTACATTTTAGTAATATAATAAAGTATAAATTATTATTATTTTCACACCGAGTATGAAATAGCTGTTGACCGGTCTTAAACTTTTCCTCTGTTTCCTCTTTAACTAAATGAAAGGCCGGTTGAATTGATTTCCAGAATGTCTCACACTCACTTTATCAGCGCTGTGTTCACGAGTATCGATTTGTGACGCTGTGACTGTACACACTGACCAATGAGATGGCTCAGAGAGTAAATGCAGGTTACTGAATAATCAGGCGGCCTGTCGGTCATCATCCCTGAGAAAACTCTGCCTGCTGTCCTCGTAAAGGCCATATCTTCACATTTAGACTGTCGGGTGTCCCTCCCAGGCTTCCATACGGTCACATTTAATATAAAAAACAGACATTGTGGTGGATTTTTTGACAATTAAAAGATAATCTGGGATGTTAAGTAGCAGCTCTTTTTGTAAATGTGTAATCTGTTACGTAACCGTGTCCCCACACAGCTGCTGTTACAAACAGCACGTTCACCCTGTCCTCCCCTGAACAGTTGTGACTTTATTAAAACTCAAGTTTATGAGCTTCAGCAAAGAAAAAGAAAGGTTTTGGTTTCAGTTTAAGAGGAGTTTCACTTTGTGTTTGGCTGATGTGCACAGTTTAATGCTCAAAGTTTCTTTTCTTCATTCAGGCACTCAAAGGACCAAAGAAAAGTTTCCTCTGTGGTTTAAAGATTGAAGTTGTAAAACGAATATCTTGTCACGCCGACCATCTCGGGGAGTTTCTCAACGTTGACGTCAAAAGGAGTCGTTGCTCAACATCCCGCGTCATTCGATCACCACGGCTGATTATTTACATCTGTTCCAAAAATGTGCACGACGTGAATCGAACACAACTTCTACACATTACTTCAGAACTTCCTGAAGAATATAAACCAGTAATGCACTCACAGAAACCTGCGATGACAACTTTCCCACTTCATTAGCAGATGATTAAAGACATGTAAGTCGAGTCAAGCGACAGGAAAAAAAAAAAAACATCAGCTGTGCATGAACTGTAAGTTAAAAAGTCAGCTTAGTTTTCTGTCTGATTAGTTTGTTATTATCTGCAGCTGGGCCTTTAATCAGATGGTGAACCCAACAGGCACATCAAACAAGGCCTGCAGTGATGATGACATGTATGTAAAAGCAACAACAGATACCGCCTTCATCCATACAGAGACCCAGATAGGATCAGTTAATGGGAGTGGATTACAGGAAGCTGTCCACACTGTCAGGCCTTCAAAAAAAAAAAAGGGATCCTGGCTCATAAACAGATCTGATAAGGAGAAGTATGCGTGAACTATTCCGCCCTGTTTTGTCATGCACTCATGGAGCTGAGGTTGACTTACTCATTTTAGAATAAATTCTGGGACGGTAGGTTAACATGCTTAGATAGCTTCACAGTTCAACATGTGACGATAAGAACGTGTGTGGAGCAGCAGTCGGTCATCAGTTTAGAGATAGTGAAGACGATGTCTCTGCTTGTGACAACAAACAGTGTCATTCAGGATTGTCTGAGGTTTTGCGTCTCTTGATTCGACGATCATTCATCCGACAGTGCTCCTTACATCTTTATCTCCTGCGTCATTTGACTTATCAGGGAACACGCTGCTGTCAGTGCGTTCCCCCCCCCCCCTGACGATCTGACAAAAGCCAGATTAAACTGCAACGCGCCAAAAAAAAACGCTTCAGCTTCAAAATGTTCAAAATGCCGTCGCTTGATTTAAAGAAAAAAAAAAAAAAAGGCCGGCAGCTGATTGAAAAATTCGAGCTGGTTGACTTCTGCTGAAAAAGAATGGGAACAATAGACGTGACCTCAGGCCAACATTTCTGTGTCAAAACGTCGCCATGGCTTCTCCCTGCAGCTCATCTGCATCGTAAACCAGTTTTTTTTAGGATGACATCATCGCCTGATTGTTGTTTTTGCAGAGGAGGAATTAAAAAAATACTTCTAAAAGCAGCACCTAGTTCCAAATGTTGAACAAGAGAATACTTAATACTAATAATATGTTTGTTTGTTTTTTTCAGTAGATTTTTAGATTTGAGAAGAAGTCAGGGGATCATCTGTTTGCTGTCTGCCTGCAGTGTGTTCATTCTATGAACCAGCTCCGTCCTTCTTACGCTTATGAAACTTCCTTCGGCGTGTTAATAGAAAGACGGGACGGGAAGTTGTGGAGGCTCAGGGGAGCAAAAAAAAAAGGGGGGTGATTATGACGACACAAGGGGGGGAAGTGTTCACAGGACGGTACAGGTTTCTTCTTCTGTTTGATTGGTTGTTTGAATTAGTGACGTCACCCATATTTTTTTTTTGACATCAATTTGGATCATTTCTACCCCAAGTTCTCTGTAACAGCTCGAAAATTTTCGATTGGCAACCCTAAATGGAGGAGAAACCTGAAACATGACGGTGCGCAGCTTCCTGCACTGATACCCGTCTGTTTCCTCTTCCTGTTGTGCAGCAGAGGGCCAGCGGAGGGTCAGACGGGGTTTGAATCCACAAACGGAGCAGAGGGGAGGGGAGGGGGGGAGAGAGAGAGAGAAAACGAGGCATGAGAGATGCACAACAGAGGCCCTGAGCGTTGGTAACACGGTCACGTCCAGAGAGAGAGGGAGTGTGGAGCAGAAAGAGGCCCAAAACAAAGTGTCGATCGGAGGTTTATGTAGCACACGGCCTGGTCCTGACGCTGAAAAACCTCCCAAGTGTGATGCTTTTGAGGTCTCACCCCCCCTCCATCACGCCGTGCGTTCATTGTCTCAGCTGGCTGGCGTTTGATCTGAGGCTCTGAAAGCAGCTCCTGAAGGTGTCGCCGGGCTCGAAGCGTTGAGCAGAGCCTGCTGCTGGATTGGAGTGACGCCGACTTTGCTCTCTTGCTCGAGCGGTGTGGTTTCATAGTATTGAGGTTACAACTTGCATACCAAGCGAATTCATTTCCAGTGTCGTCAGCCGTGTCGTGCTTTTCCAGGAGTTGACTGCCGCACGTCGCTGTCACAGATTCACTTTTTTTATTGTCACTCATGCAGGATGCGCCTCAATGTGCGTACATGCTGCCGTCTGCAGCGGGGCCCAAATGCATTCCGTCGACGGAGTGTCAGTGGCGCCTTCGTATTGCCTGCATACTTTGGCAAACTTTGGAGCGAGGTGTTAAAAAGGGCTGCGTGTTCATTGGCGGTGTCGGGAGGCTGTTTGCTGGTGACATCACACAGGAGGTTATGTAAGAGCTCCTGGCAGCGCCCCCGCGTCTCCAGGGAGGGTTCGTGCACATGACAGAGGTATGAGGAGAGCTGCTCGCTGTGCTGTGCTGTTTTTTTTTTTTTTTTTTACTGCTCTCAAATGATCACAGGGAGAGGTGGGGTCAGAACTTAGGCGGCCCCTTGTGTTTGGGTTAGGCCTTTTACGTACAGTTATTACAGCTGAGAGGAGCAAAAAAAAAAAAGACAAGATTGAGTGGAAAATCTTGGGGGGGGGGGCCGGCAGGAGAAACTTAGTCTGCAAAAAAAAAATTGATTCAGCTCTGAAATAATGTAGTTGCACCACCTCAAACTCATTTTTTGCAAGGACATGAAGATGTGTCTTAAATATGAGGAGGAGTTTTCATCTTCGTCCTGTTCATACTGTGTGTGTCCACAGTCCTGAGTATCACGGGGTCACATCAACTTGTTGTCAGCAAAAAACAAAAAAGACTTTAAAGATGCAACCGTTGAAGCCCTCGTAGTGGTGCGCAAAGTACTGACCTGGCTGGTCTCCCCTGTGCAGGTTCTTCCCCCTCTCTGTCCTCCAAGAAGCCGCGCAGCAGAGGCCTCTTCTCCAGCCTCTTCTGCTGTCTGTGTCGGGATCAGCCCGAGCCTCAGCCCGTCAACAACAACGCCCCGCTGCTGGTGGAGGAGAACGGGACCGTCTCAAAGGTGGGATCAGAGGAAAAGACCAAATCAGCGTCAGGCAGACTTCAAAATGAACGTCCATCAAATTTCTTGCATCTGGCGTTTCGCTTCTTCGCCGTCATCTCACAAATATTTTCTTTTTTTTTTCTTTTGGGACATCCAGGTGAAGCCACTGCTGCCTCCGGTGAAGTCGAAAGACTCTGGGAAGATCTGCGTGGTGATAGATCTGGATGAGACGTTAGTTCACAGCTCCTTTAAGGTAAGAAGCACAAATATGTACAGGTGTGTGCTTTCATTTGCAAAAAGAATTATTTATTTATTTGAGATCAAATGAAATAGAAGGGTTTTTTAAAGAAACGGGTGAAAGCTTAAGCACTGCTTCGTCCCCTGTTACCACCTTGCATTATTATAACGCTATGTTAAATATTAAAAACATGCATGAATGGAGGACGACTTCTGCCTCCACCTTGGCTTTAAAAGTTACATTTCTGCCCTCGCTGGCAAACGCCAAACCCAAACTAGCTGCTTCATGAAGCCAGATAAACACAGCGCTCCTTCATGTCCACACACAGTGCAGACTGTTTGTCTCTACCTGTCCTGAAGTCACATTTAGTCTGTGTCTCTGAAAACAGGCCTGCAGCTCCTCTGTTCCTCTTAATTCCACATCTTGTGACTTATTTTTGCAAAAGAAAAACATCAATTTGATGTCTCACTCATGTGCTAAAAAGATTTAAAAATTCTGCTTCTTTTTTTTTTGTTCGCGGTTCTCGCAGCCGGTGAACAACGCGGATTTCATCATTCCTGTGGAAATCGACGGAACAGTGCACCAGGTAATGTTCCCAGCGCCTCACAGTCCCTGCGTTTGTGGTCGTAGGTGCTGCTGTGTGTGCGTTTGAGAGGTTTGAAGACGGATGACGTTACTCTGGGTTTGGGCCTGATTCAAGTAATCCAGGATAGGTTTGTTCAGACAAGCTCAGCCTATTCCGGATGACTTGGTTCAGGAACGCTGCCCTCAGCCGCACAAAGAAGAAAAACACATGGAGGAGGAGGAGGAGCTTCAAGGAAACCAGAGCTGGAGTTCACTTTTGAGATTGTCTTTCTGTTCTTCATATTTACTTCCCTATTCTAGCCTTGAGTGCATCACAGTTTGTGGCAATGTGAACTTTTAAACTGTCCATGAGTCATTTGCACATACTTTATTTAACACCAGAATACAGTTTCCTGCTTCCTGGGGCAGTAAAGGTCTGTAGTAACATGTTTTATATCAAAATGTAAGCGCTGCAGATACCTGATTCAAAACGCCCTGCGCCCCCCCCCCAGGTGTATGTCCTGAAGCGGCCGCATGTCGATGAGTTCCTGAAGAGGATGGGGGAGCTGTTCGAGTGCGTCCTCTTCACTGCCAGTTTAGCCAAGGTGAGGACTTAGAAGTGACTGCACTTCAAATGCTGCTGTATAACGGGTATTAACATGATGATGAAATACCAGAGGCTGCAGCAAGTGATGAAGCTGGTTTCAGCGGGAACAGTTTCGACTGAAAAACGAGGCATCACTCATCGATCAGTTATCAAAACAACAGACTAGAGCGTGACGGCGTGCAGAGCAGCCCTGAGGCGCTACCTTTCGTCATAGTTGTTACATTTAATGAGAGGTGTTAACCGGCTAAATTTGGCAGCAGCTGTCAACTCAAGAGAGGCACGTGATTGGCTGAAATTTGTCACTATGGAAAGAGATGTACCAAAAAAAAAAAGTACCATCGAAATGAGCTGAGATTTCGTCTTCTATTCAGGAATGACTCTTGCTCGTTGTTTGGTTTGTTTGACTTTTATGAATCGCGTGTCTAAAACAAGATTCGTAGCAGCGCTACAACGGATCAACGCCGTTTTCGCTTGTCATTGTCTCAGTACGCCGATCCCGTCTCGGACCTCCTGGACAAGTGGGGCGCCTTCCGCTGCCGCCTCTTCCGGGAGTCGTGCGTCTTCCATCGGGGGAACTACGTCAAGGACCTGAGCCGGCTGGGGCGCGACCTCAACAAGGTCATCATCGTGGACAACTCCCCGGCCTCCTACGTCTTCCACCCCGACAACGCGGTGAGCACGCCACACCTGAGTCACTGCGGTTGTTGTTGTTGTGCGGAGCGGCATTTACTCCTTTTTTTTTTTTTTTCATTTGCAGCTTTATCGCATAAAATACACCATCTGTTTATCATCTGACTGATTCCCATTTACTTATTTCACTGCGCTTCCTACTTACTTCAAACACTCGTCTAGAAAGAAAGAAATGGGCATGAATGTTGCATTTTTTTTTTTTAAATTGAATTCTGAATTTATTGCATCTGGAGATTAAAGCAAAGATTTAGTGTCTATGACTTAAGTATGTTCTCCATCAGGATCCAAAGAGGAATGAAAAGTCAAGGATTGATGATGTCACACATGGGATTACTGATGGTTTGTGTTGTCCTCCAGGTGCCCGTGGCCTCGTGGTTCGACGACATGTCAGACACCGAGCTGCTGGACCTCATCCCCTTCTTCGAGCGGCTGAGCAAAGTGGATAACGTCTACACAGTCCTCAAACAGCAAGGGGACGCCAGCTAACAGCGTTTCTGTCATCTCAGCTCTGAACGAGAAAAAAAAAAACGGCGTACACGACTGAAAAAAAAAAAAAAAAAAATACACAACAACTTCCTGCTCCAGCTTCCACCACCCCCTTCTGAACACAGACTGCTTCACAGCTGACCGAGCCTTCACCTTCCCAGAATTGAAACCAGGTCATGTTTTGGGGTGTCAATGCTGCCACCTGCTGGTCGAATAGAAAACTGCACAAAGTTTGCCTTCAACTTTCTGTATCCTCTGGAACAAGGCTGGGTACTGGACTCTCACGGATCTAAAAAAAGTCCCATCCTGCAGAAAGTTCAGGATTTAGAAACCATGCAGGAATCAACTAGAGAGGACTTTTTTGTGAAGATTTTAATGGAAAAGAAACTGATCTGACCTGTCAGTGATAGAGCAGATTGTAAACACGTACTGTAGATGTGCGTCACCCTAATCTCATCGATTATCACACTATTTGTCTGCAAACGCATGGTGTCTTTTTAGAGTTTTTAAAGCAGTATGATCAGGTATTTTTTGAATAATCATGACAGTGTTATGGCTACATCTGAACATAAGCAGTGGGATTGTAATGTCTAATATGATAAGGAATTGGTAAATACACTGAAAGACATGTTCAGTGCCTTGTGGGGGATTCTTTTCAGCATTATTTCTGACCTTTACAAAAGTGAAATTGTATCACGGCGACGTTCATTATTTGATTTCTTCACATCTATCGGAAAAAAGGATAGGGAAAAAAAAATCGACTTATTGCTTTTTTTCACAAGAATCAGCACAACATTTTGGTCTATGGGGACATACATCAGTGTAAAAATCCATAGAAAGTGCTGATTCTTAAAAAAAAAAAAAGACTTTTTGCACTGAAAATTGGTGTACACAAAAAATAAATGTTCTCAATGTAACATGCAAAGTTCTTTTGACAAAATGTCTGCATGGAAAAAGCAACAACTGCAGTGTTTCCCCTTAAAAGCCTGACACTAATATGAAAAGGAAACCATCTGTGCACATCGGTGAAGGAGCAGCTGCTATGTTATTCTGACATGGATCGTGCTTTTTTTTTTTTTTTTTTTTGGACATGTGTGGCAATGAATGTCATGGAAACTGTTGACTCCAGAGACGAAGAGGACCAGGATCACCTCCTTTAAAAAAAAAAAAAAAAAAACGCTTGGAAATTAACCTTCATGAATGTCGCAATGGTTTCACAGCCACTCGCACAACACTTGAATTTCTCGCAGCATTTATGAACTGATTTTGAATGGTAAAAGAAAGACGTCTGATGCAAAATAAGTTACACTCTGGCTTCTTGTTAGTTTCAGAGTACAGGTTTTTTTTTTTCCTCCCAAAGCGGTACACATGGGCTGGAAACTATTTCAGGACTCTGTATTAAAAGGTGTGTGGAGTGGGGGAGCTGCCATAAGGACTCGAAGATATATGAGGTGTTTGAAAAACAAAAAAAGTGTTTTCATTAAGTCCAGATTTAAAGGAGAAAGTCTCCCTGAAATACTTCAACACTGTTTTAAATGTTTCTCAGGCCGGGAAACATATCATTCATTCATTCACAGTTGCAAAAAAAAAAAAAAGGCATGCTGGGAAATGTAGGAAATCACTTCCAGAAATTAGATTTCTAAAAAAACTGATGTTAAAACAGTGTGAAGTAATTTCAGAGTGGATTTTTCTCTTTAACTCCATGGAGTTCGACCCAGACCGGACACCTTTTAGACTCTTCTCTTCCACGTATGCGTTGACAATACCATGTGTTGACACTGATGAATGAAGGTGGATTCGACTCAGAGCCTCCGCAGCATGGCTTGAGATGGGACAGCAAGGACACAGAAATCCACCGTATAAAGAGCTATTACATTATTTTTCTATGTTTAACAAATTCTTGTCAATCACATTAGCCCTTTTTCTTTTCTAAATACTGATTTAGTTATTCTTTTTTTTTTTTTTGCCCTGGAGTTGGTCTTCTTGATACAATAATTGGTCCTGGTAGGTATATTAATATGTGGAGCAGGAAAACCAGCAAATGACTAAAAACGTTTTTACTGATGTAGGCACATAACAGGGTCAATATTTTCAGAGGTGTGTTTCATGTCAGCCATCATCACGTCTCAATTAGTTTAACTGTTATTGTTATTTCTTTGCAAAAGCAACAGTATTTATAGGAACATACAGTCATATAATTACATATAAAACGTGTTGTCACTACAGGGGCCCATTCACTGATACTGTACTTCTTACACATCCAGTAGGTATGTATATTTTGTTTTGCACAGTAATAAAGCAAACAAATTGTCATTAATATATGGAATATTCATGTTACTGTACTCATGATTGAATAGATGTAACCTAATTTTTTGACCTATTGTTTTATCATACCAAAATATATGTGGACTCTATGTAACAATGCCATTTTCTTTTCCCATAAATGCTAAATGAAAAATGGTCCAAGTGAGGTTTTTTTGATTGAGCATTTATTCTTTCACATTATGCAAATGTTTAAAATGAGTTAGCTTTAGATGTACTACTTGCTTTTAGTAATTTAACATCAGCCACAGAGGAACAATCTTACTTCAAGCGGCCATGTTCGTTTGTTTTTTTTTCCCGACAAGAGCTTCTTGAATTTGTGTATGCAGGTGGGAAGCGGATCTTTCCGAGGATCACTTGAAGGCAGCGTTTTAATCAATTAGACGCTGCGTAACAAAACATCGTAAAATATCGCGTTAATCAGCTAATTGGTCGCTGTCGGCGAGTAGCGCAGTTGTCTTGGTAAACTACAAGTAAACATGAGACTAACTTGTGTTTTGGAGCCGTGTTGTCGCCCAACTCATGAACGTAAGTTTAAAATTAATCAACTAGTTTATTTTATTTATTTTTTAAATTGAAGTGCAATATGGAAAGATAGTGTGAATAATGTCACTGCAGCAACTTGCTAATCAATCAATCAATTAGGCTTATTACTCTTTATCCACAATGTGTTAGAAAGTAGTGATGAAAGTGCCATAGCTTTTTCGTCTTTCTTGGAGAGGAAAAGATTGCAAAGTATTCAACACCATTTAATAAACACTGTCAGTTTGTGTTTAATTCAGTGGGGGTTTTTATTTGTATACAATATTGTAAAGGCAATTATAAATCTTTAAAAGGCAAATAAATACAATCTACACTGTAAAAAAGGAATAACTTCACTGAAGTAACATGCTTCAGAATACATGACTTCACTAAGAGCTCTCAATTCAAACTCAAGTCAGAACAGAGAGATGCAGGCCATCCAAAGACTCCTGAGCGATTCACAATTTTGCAGTCTTTGTTTTCTTCGTTCAAAGTCAATGCTTTACTTTCTCCCCCCCCCCCCTTACTTTTCCATTACAGTGAGTGTGGCGCTGCTTTTGGCCTTGCCCATGGTGAACTTCACCGCCCCGCTCATGTCTACGCTGGTGTTTTTCAGGGTGAGTTTGTGGACTGTCCCGTGGCTTTCAACTCGAACGAAGGGGCCTGGCTGAAGAGCCTCTCCATTCAGAGTCCAAACGGGGGCCTTGTTTATGTCGACAGATACCTCGCACTGGAAACACGCTGCCTCCGACTCAGTCACCTCCTCATCCTCTAGTTCTTTGACAATTACAAGCGCTTGGGCTGCAGAAACAAAGGGGAAACATGCTATCATGGTGTTGTTCAAAACTCATCAAATCCAACAGCAGTAAGATAGAGAAGCAAAGATTCACCTCCTTTTCATTTTAGTGTCAAGAACCCTCTACAACCAGCTTACCTTCCACCATCAGTTTGGCTTTACATGTGTGCTCCCCAACCTCGATGCTGTAGGTGCCCTCGTCCTCCACTGACGCCTGCAAGATGACTAGTTTGTGGGAGCATTCATCTGCCAGGATCTCAACTCGATCCGAGGGAGCGAGCTCCTCTGTGCCCTTATACCAGGTGGCGCTGCAGCGAGGCGAAGAAACGGTGCATTCAAGGATCACTCTGTGCTTCTCCAGGGCTGTTCGATCTCGCAGGGGTTTTACGATGGTGACAGGAAGCTCTGAGGCGAGAGGCACACGTTCAAGGTTTTTCATGAAACATTTTTAAACTGTTACAATCCCATACAGATTCAACTCAGACAAAAAAAAAAGTTAGACTTACCTTCTACTTCAAGGTAAGCCGTGGACTCTATATCCTTGGCTGTAAAGCGGATTTCCCCAGCGTCCTCAGCTGTGACGTTACACATGAGTAGGAAGTGTTTGGTCCCTGAAAGAGGGCAAAAGATTTGTACAATCCACCTACATTACAGCTCTTCTTTAAATTTGGTGAGTTCAAACTTCAATAAGACAATTACCAGTGCTTCATTCATTTTTGTCGTCCCTCTGTAAGTGTTGCTTCTCTTCATTTGGTGCTACCTGGGAGCCTTGCAATTCCCTTTACACCCACCAGAGGTCATCCCAAATACTTCTATCATTTGTTTAGAGGCAACTTTTTTTGCAACTTAAAAGATGATTTAATTTTCCCCTTGTTTTATTTACATTTGTATTCATAAAATACATTTCATTCCTTGGTTACTAAGGCAGTGTGTGTATCTAAGTGCTTTGAATTTGCAGAGATTTCTTCTTCACTCTCTCTCATCACTCCCATGACTAATCACTTCCTCCTTTTTCTAACCTTCAGTGCGGATCTTGATGGTGCTAGTGGGCCGGATCTTGTGCCCATCTTTGTACCACTCTCCTGGGACGTCTTCCAGAGAAACCTCACACATGAAGACAGCGTTGTGGTCCTCCTGGATGTAAAGGTCCTCCAGATCGTGCACTAACTCCAACTTGTGCTCTGAGAGGTTAGTACAGAGATTCAGATTCGCAATAATAGAATCCCAAAAAAAAAAAAATGTTGTACACCAATATATACATTTCCCAGTATAGCCCCTTGTAAGGTTATATACTGAACTAAGCACACTTGTTCAGTGTCTGCAAAGAAAAGAGCAAGTGTGCAGGCATAACTTCTTCTCGCTGTGTTATAATTCTTACCATAAACCTCCAGTGAACAGGAAGTGTTGATGTCTCCTGTGTCACATGTGTAGGAGCCAGAGTCAGCCAGAGAGCACAGCAAAATCTGACAGAAACGCTTTCGCCCCATGGAGTAGATCCGACAGTTCTTTCCTGGCTTCAGCTCCGTCCCATTCTGGTTCACAAAAGCAAGCGTGCACAGGTATGTCTCATGAACCGGGAAAATGCATTTCACAGTGAGCAAAAGCAAAGTCAAGAGCGAATGGGGTTGTAATTGGTCTATTTTTACCTTAAGCCATCTGACTTCAACAATTTGTCTGGAGAATTCACACTCCAAAGTGGCCGAGCATTCCTCCTCCACACGAACATCGGAAAGTGGTCTCAGGATAGTCACCGGAGTCTCTGTTGATTTTAAATCCAATCAACAACACAATTAACAAGCAACTGAATAACCTCATGGGTCAATGATGTAGTCGTAGTTCACTTTTCCAGTTTGCAATTTATTAAAACTAACCAAATGTGTACTTTAACAGCAAAGCAGAGCTCCACAGGCCAGTATTTACCTTTGACAGTGAGCCTTGCAGTGGTGCGTACCCCTTCAGCTGAGAAGACGATAGTGCCCGTATCCTCCAGGGTGAGATTTGACAGGGTGAGGCCATGGACTAATCCATTGGTGCTCACCCGAAACTGGTTGTTCGGTTTCACTCGAATGCCATCCTTCTGCCAAATTCCCTCCACATCCGTGTGCGAGAGCTCCACTTCGAAGGAGGCTGTCTCTCGTTCAAAGGTTTCCTGATCAGTTAGGCCTTTGCGGATGGAGATTTTACGGGCTGGATTGGAAGAGATAAGGGGGGCGATGGCAGTGATGATTATTTCCGAGATTCAGAAACTATTCTTATCAGAATGAAATCATACTATTGTGAAGATTACTCCCTTAATCCTAGGGTAATGTAATCTATAATTTAACACCCCTGTAATTTGTAAATTAAATCTTTTATATCTGCATTTTATGTATAACAACATTTCTCTGAAGCATCGCTAACACTTTCCGTGTACATTGAAAAGAACACTATGTTTCAAGGACAATAAAGGGTGGTTCAAATATAGAACAAGCTCAGTTTATCACATGACAAAAACAACACCTACAGGTGCTCCATAGCACCATGTCATTCAACACACTATTGTTGACAGCGTGGCCTTGTTTCAAAAAACCTTTTCACACTTGCAGGACTAGCCCTGCTATTCTTAGGCTCTCTTTGCACTGTGCCATACTTTGAAAACACCTTACAATATCCTGTTCTTCAGTTTCACAGAAATCAGTGTTAAAGCTGTACACTAAACTTGCTGCTGAACAATTCCTACCAATTTAAATGTTCTGCTACTCCTCAAATATTTGAATGTATTCAAGTGAAGTATTTCAATAGTGTCTAAAATGAAATAAAATGACTGGCCAAATATTTAGCAAAAATGCTAAATACTTTCTAAGAAGCCGCCTTTGTTTTTTTATATTTTTTTGAAAAATACATGCATTTCAGGTTCAACTGTCGGTCTGACAAAACAAGAAACATGATCATGTAATATTGAGGTCTTTATAAGTAAACACCATGGACCACTTACGTTCCACATTGAGCTTGACCTGGGCCCGGTCATGCAGGGTCTCACAGCGATAGGTCCCCCGGTCGGCCAGAGTCAGGTTCTGGATGCTCAAACTGCGTTTACAGCCATTCTGTGATAGGGTGTGTCTTGGACCAGGCTGGATGACCACTCCTTGCCTCATCCACTGTACTTCTCCTGTCTCAAGGCTGATCTCTGTCTCTAAGGTGGCGTCACCAAACTCTTCTGCCATTACAGCCTCCATTTTCTTCGTAAACATGACCTGGGCCTCTAAAATGTGTGAGAAGAGACAGAAAGATAGGTTTCAAGGAACTCCTGATTGTGCACCATATCTCGTCTTTTTGTCATGAAATGATCATACCGTTAACTTTGAGGCTTGCTTTGCTGATTTGTCCCTCAGCCTCTGCTGTAATCTTCGAACAGTCCAACATCTGACACTTTTTGATGACCAAGGTTTGACACAAACCGTTCTGGTTTGCCTGGAAACGATCACCCAGGGTGATAGGCTCATTATCCATGAGCCAGACCAACTGGACATCCTCAGGGGAAACAACACACTTAAATGTGGCATCTTCTCCTTCAAGAACAGTGGTGTTGTGGAGCTCTGTCAGGAACTCCACTACTCTTGGCACTAAAAAGACATAATAGAGATTATGAACCTCTATCCACACCTCAACAAGAAAATCTAAGTCCAGGAATACTTACTCTCTACTCTCAGTATTGCCACAGTCCGATCGTCTCTGGACTCACAGGCGTACTCCCCAGCGTCCTCTCTGGTTAAACGGTGGATGGTCAAGCTTCGCTCAACTCCATCTGCCCGGATGGAGAACCTTCTGCTTGGAACAACCTCTAGGCCATTCCTTAACCACTGGACATCTGCTTTTGGCTTGCACACCTCACAACGAAGGGTCACCATACCATCAGCATGGGCCACAGTGTCTCGCAGAGGACTCATAAACTTGATTCTCATTTCTGTGATCGAAAAAAAAAAACAAGAAAATGGCTTATAAGTCCAAACTGAAGTATTGTACATCATTTTTGGATCAATAAAAGAAGCTGAGTGTTAACCTTTCACCAGCAAGCTGAAGTTGATCTGGTCAGTGTTCACGTCGCAAGTGTACTCGCCAGCATCAGAGCGCCTCAAAGGGTCGATAGTGAGGGTGCGCTCATGACCCTCAGTGAGTGCTCTGAAACGCTCTCCTTCAACAGGCGACCAGTCTTTCTGCCAACGCACAACAGCACTTTCTTTGGACACGTAGCTCGTCAATGTCACGCTCTCCGCCTCGTACCCCGTCACAACAATGTCATCCTGCTTGTTCACAAATGTTACTGGAGACTCTGACGGAAGAGACAAGAGAGGTCCCAAGTATAGTTAAACTGCAACGAGAATTAAATATTGGCAGTGTTCACTCTGAATCTTTTACCTTGAATCCTGACAATGCTGATCATCTTGTCGTCCACGGCATCACACACATACTTCCCAGAATCTGATGGCTGGACATTTGAGATGATAATTTTTCTCAAAGTGCCGTAGGTCTCAATATATGTACGGGAGTCTTCAGAAAGCAGACGGTCATTGAAGTACCACTGAGCAGGGGCATTGTCCCGGGACACTTCACATGCCAGGATTAGGTCTTCCCCTGCCATCATCTCTTGGTAGTCAGGGTCATTTGAGTTACCCACAATTCTCACTGGAGGCTCTAAAGTCAAGGAGAAAAGACAGTTGCTTCTTTTGGGGAACAGTTTTAAACTCAAACCTTTTATTTGAGATTCATAAAAAAACAAAAATCCTACCTTCTACTGTAACCTGGAAGCTGATGCTGTCATCTCCAACATCCAGGAAGTACTCTCCTGAGTCTCCAATCTCAGTGTTTAGGATGACCAGCGAGCGGAAAGCACCTTCTTCTTCTTCGCAGAACCTTTCATCACCCTCAACACGGCAGTTATCCTTGTACCACTTGGCTACGGCATTAGCTCTGGACAGCTCGCACTCCAGCACAATGTCATCAGAAATCAGAGATTTTAGATTTGTCTTAATCTCTGACTTTCTTAGGATCTTCACTGGAGGCTCTGTAATACGGAATTACATATTAATACTCAATTATGGTCAAGGGAGAGAAATAATCTGAGGATCTGATACATAATGCCTCTTACCTGAAACTTTGACCTGGAAATCAATTTTATCATCTACAGCATCACAGGTGTACTTCCCAGAATCCTCTGGGGTAGGAGAGTGGATGGTCAGACGGTGGATCAGTCCGTCCTCTGTGATGGTGACATTACTGCTCTCTTGTATTTCTCTGCCATTTAGCCACCATGTGACTTCAGCACTTGGCCGGGACACCTTGATCTCCAGCACGATTGGTTTGCCGGTTAAACTCTCCAGTCTGTCAAGCATGTTTTGGGGACGAGTAAGCGTCACTGGTGACTCTGAAAGAAGGCATGAACAAGGTTTTTTGGGGGGGTGGGGGGGGAATGTGCCCAAATAATCTAAACTTGGTTATCCATTTATCATGATGCTAAATTGTGAGCCTTCACCTCAATCTTACCTGTAATAGTCACAAGGAAGGCAACAGAATCATCTTCAGTGTCACATATGTATTCCCTGCATCTTCCACAGTGGTGAAAGGTATGATCAGTCTACGTTGGGCCCCATCCACCTTCAGGATCAAATTAGGACCCTCCTCTACCTCCAGGCTGTCCTTATACCACCGGACAGGGGCATCGGCCTGGGAGATCTCACAGCTGAGCTCCAGCCTCTCAGGGGCCAAATGAGTCAATTCCAAGTCAGATTCACTGGGGGAAATTATTCTTACTAGTGGTTCTGGAGGAGGAAGAAGACAGTTAGCAATCTTTTAAAAAAAGCTTTAAAGATTCTAAGTGCGGTAAAAAGAAAAAAAAAGGTCCTACCTTTGACAGAAAGCTGGAAGAAGACAGAGTCCCCATCAGTTTCACAAACATATTCTCCACCATCCTCCACTGAGCCAGAGAGAATGCTCAGCCTCCGGTAAGGACCTTCTGATATCAACTGGACGTTGTTGCTTTCCTCCACCTCCTGGCCGTCCTTGAACCAACACACCTTCCCGCTGGATCGGGACAACTCGCACTGCAGGTGGATCTCCTCTGAGACGTAGCCCTCCATCACAATATCATCCTTAGGTTCAACAATCATCACTGGCGGCTCTGTGTTTGAAGTCAGAGGAAACAACGTCTTTAATGGAAGAGAGATGTTCTACACTTCGCTCACCTTTGAATATATGTTTTTAAACATTACTTAGAAAAACGGGGACATCCATATACCTTTGATATTGACAGTGAACTCTATGTTGTTGTTTCCTGCTTGGCAGGTATAGCTTCCAGCATCTGACGTCTCTGCAGAGCGAATGATCAGCCTCCTCATGGTCCCCTCTGCCTGCAGAGTGATTTTGTCACTGGGCTTTACCTCACAGCCATCCTTATACCTGTGACATATAAAATAAAACAGATAACACAATGTTTTAAATAACCAACTAATGATTTTAAGAAACCTGCATGGAAAAACAACAAATCAACAACAACAACAACATTAATGTAATAAACAGCATAAGTAGAAGCACATATTGGCTAACAATTCTCTTCATCTTACCACACAACCTCTGCATCTTCTGCAGAGACATGACAGAGGAGCACCACAGGGTCCAGCTCCATACTGCTCTTATGGAGCTCCTCTTCTGGGACGGGAGTAAACTCCACAGGTCGACCTGCAGAAAACAGGAGGAGTCAGCAGCTGGAACACAAGGTACCAGTGATTTAACTTCTATCCATCAAATCAGAAATATTTTTTGCAATTTGTTTTAATCATAAAACAAATCCTGGATGAGGTAGTTGCGGTTATTAGGCGTTGGCATTTGTTGCAAACAACCTTACAAGGTTTTGAGTTCGCTGTACAGAAGATCATATGAAGGAACCCGAAGGGCCAACACATTTCTAACCATAGACTACAAAAAATGACTCATCAGACAAGATACATTTGCGTTTTTTTTATGAAAGAAAGTATGAATGTGAATGTTGTCATTTCAGAAAATCCTGAGAAGCACTTTTTCCTGATAAACACTTCTTACCTGCAACATCCACATTGAATTTGATGACATCTCCAGAAGTTTCACATGCGTAAACTCCAGAGTGAGATGCATCAGCTGATTGGATCACAATTCTCCTCATGTTCCCATCTGCTTGGATGTTAAGACCATCGGTCACCTCCATCTCCTTGCCATCTTTGAACCAGGATACTTTTGCAAAGGGGTGGGAGACTTCACAGTAGAGCACAATAGCATCACCTATGTCCACCCTTTTTTTGCTGTCTAAGTCTGACAGAGGACTGAATTTTATGACTGCAGCTGCAAAGAAGTAAACCCACAATCAAACACCAAAGGACAGCATCATTAACATGTTAAATGTGACAGAATAAATATTTCTACACCTACGTTTCACTCTGAGTACAGCTGAATCTCTGACTCCGTTGGCTATAAATGTGATCTCTGCTGTGTCCTCTGCAGCGCAAGTTTCACGAATAACCAATGAGTGCTTTGTTTGGGACTGTTGTACTGAATATCGGCCGCCATGTTGCAGTTGTGCGCTATTTAAAAACCAGGTTCCAACCATTGTTGCAGACAGTTCAATGGAGAAGTGGGCGTCTTCTCCTTCTACAACTTCACAGCCTTTCATGTTACAGTGAATCTTGGGTCCAGGAACTAAGGAAACAGTATAATTTTAAGTTTACAAAGAATTTAAACCTCATTGGAATTTGAAATAACATGAATATTTAAGCATCATTCTGCATTGTAAACATTTGTATTAAATTGAATCCACCAGCATGAAAGCCAGTACTCAAATGTCTTTCATGTAGCCTATGTTTTAAGAGAATGAAGATAGATTTACAATGAATAAAATGTTCATTTCTTCTTCACAGTTATCCTCCTTACCCAGATGGACAGCTTTGGGAAACTCCACATGACCGCTTCTCCCGTACTTGTTGATGCAGCAAACACGGAACCGGTAGTCGCCTTCACATGGCACGCTGTCACCAGCGACCTCAGCTGTAGTCGCAGTCTCTGAGGTGAAACACTTCTGCCACTCTTGGGAGCCAACTTCCTGTCTCTCCACAACAAAGATGGATCGGGTGGAGGTCTGGCTGTTGGGGGCTGGCACCCAGGTAAGCAGAGCACTGTTGGGGCGATCCTCGTCCATTTTGACTCCGACAGGACAGATAGGAGGGCTATGTCTTGTGGCTGCAATACAAAAAGGGCAAAGTAAATAGTAAAAGAATGATTAAGGCAAGTTAGCCTGTTTGATGAAATAATGTAAAATAAAAATGTCATCATCAAGCCTGTGTAACTTTGGCTTCCAACAATTTACAATTAACTTAATTACAATATGGGATATTTGTCTAAGACCTTCCCATGTCACCTAAGAAATATTTCCAAAACCTTTCATAAACCAATTCAGTCAAAGTAGAGACAATCGCATACATTACGGTTTCCTGAATTTACCTTTAACCTTGAGACGTGACGAGGTCTTGGAGCTTCCTGCGACAAAGGTCACTACACCTGAGTCTTGATAGGTCACGTTGACGAAGACCAGAATGTGAGTTTTTCCGAAAGACTTCAGGATCGTTTGATGAGTCTCGTGCAGTTTCAGGCCGTCTTTGAACCAGTGGATCTCCATTTCGTCGCTTTCCACTTCCACGCAGAACACGGCGTTCTCACCCTCCAGGACCTCCAGCTTTCGGGGAAGCTTACGAATAATTGTACCTGTAAGTAGAAATAATTGGTATTGTATAGCCAATTTATTTTAGAGTAAAAGCTGTTGTTCATTGTTTTCTTAGGTTACATCAAATATTTATTTTTTTACATTGAAAGACACGATTACCTAGAGGTCAACTAAAATGATACATTTGATTTTTGAAGATCACAAGATCTTTTGATATGATTTGATATGCTGAATAAAAATGTCTCATTTGTGGATCTTAAACCCCACAATGTAATGTAAGTGGGTTCATTAGCTTTTCTGAAGCTTTAAAATGTAACCACTATAAACTCAATGAATTACCTTTTTATTTTAGAAATGTAAAGTAAAGAATACCTTTCACTGACAGCTCTGCGATGCTTTTTGCTCCATCTGGCATCTCGCAGAGATACACTCCATCGTCGTCCGTCCCAACATCATGGATGGTCAATCTCCGTCTGGTTCCTTTCTGCTCCATGCCGTACTTACTGCTGGGCATCAGCCGCTGGTCCTCCAGGTACCAGGCTGATGGGATTGACTCATCAGGGACCTCGCACTCCAACACGGCCACATCCCTCTCCCTTACCTCTACGTCTTTTAAAGGACACCTGAACCGCACAGCTGGGCCTAAAAAAAATGTTCATATTGGTTTTATATGGTTTTTAAAAAGATCTGCTTAAAGTAACACCATAAAGTTTTTTTTTTTTAAAGTTTAACTTACAATCCAATGTTTATTTTTAAAGATGTCTTCTACTGAAATATTTGTGTTTGACCAGTTACACTTGCAGGAAAAGCTGATTTTTTTTTAAAAGATTGAGGTTCTCTTACCTTTCACAGACAGGTGAACAGCGCTGAGTGTGTTTCCAAGAGCATTTGATGCTGCACACACATACAGTCCTGTATCCTGCACTTTACAGTACAGAACCTTCAGTGTGTAGTAACCCTCTCTGTCCTCAAATACCAAATGACGCCTCCCTGGCTCTAGGGGAACCCCATCTTTCTTCCAAATGATCTCTGGCTTAGGCTTCCCTGTTACAAAGCAGCGGAACTTGGCGTGTTTCCCCTCTGCCACTGCAAACTTCTTTGCTTTAGAAGCATTGACAGTTTGCTCCTCTGTAAGCCTTGACAAGCTGAGCCTCCCACCCCTGTGCTTTGGCGACCATTGGCTGCTTGCCTGACCATTTGAGGACTTCTTACTGTCGCCCCGCTCCGGTACAGGCTCAACAAGCAGGACAGCACCTGCCAGGGCCTCGCCATGGCAGTTGGTGGCCCTGCAGGTGTAGACCCCTTTGTCTGGCATGCGTGTCCTGTAGATCTTGAGCTGGAACCAGCCGCCATCTTGATTGTTCACGCTGAAGTGTGCGCTCTCGAAGATGTCATTCAACTTCTTCCCGTCTTTCTCCCATGTTACCTCTGGAAGAGGAGTCCCCCAGATTTTGCAGGAGAAGGCAGCGTCTTCTCCCCGATCCACCCTCAGAGAGAGAGGCTTGATGAGAAATCGAGGTTTGTCCTCAGAAGTTTGATCAACCTCTTCTCGAGCTTCATTTAACTTGCTGTTCCACCTGTGCTCTCCATTCACCCCTTCTCCATTTTCTCTCCTATGTTCACCATTTGGCATTGTACAGAAGCCATTCAGTTGTCCTTGGAGCTCACCATTTTCCTTTGTTGGCTGCTTCACACCATTGACTGCTAATTGCCTTTGCCCCCCGTCTTGTGGCTGGGCCTCTCCTTCTACTTTCAGGGAGGCTGCGGCATAGGTTTCACCTATGCTATTTTTGGCCTTGCAAATATACTGGCCAGCATCATGCAGAGTCACCCCATTAATGATTAGAAGGTAAGCTTTCCCCTCCTCAGAAAGCTTGTAGTGTCCATCAGACAGGATCTGGACACTTTTACGCTCCCAGATCACATCAGGACGAGGGTCACCATCAATTTGGCACCTCAGTGTTGCAACTGTGCCGCACTTTGCCACTATAGGGCGGGGATAGCCCAAAAGGCGAGGAGCTCCTCCAAAAATATCCATTGCAATGTCTCCTTCTTTTTGGGTTTGAATGAAGAAATGTCCTAATTTTCTGGGTTGCCTTGATTATCGCCTCGTTGGTGAAATAGCTGTAAGACAAAGAGAAGTTTATTTTGGAAGGCCGTCAACTTCAACTGTTACGCTGAATCAAACAATGTTAAGCTTAAGTTTTGACATGAAGTCCAGTAAATGGTTGTCATCTGTACCTCTTTGTCTACATCTAACCTGATGATTGATTATAGAGAGACCTGTATTGCTATGTTTCAAACATTCCAACTTCTTCATGAAGTCGTCGAGGGTTAACTGAGCGTCAGTTCGCTCTTTATCACATCCTTTTATTGAAGTATTTTTTTCTGGCAAACATAAACCACTCTCACTTGTGTCTCAGCTGGTGCTGTAACTCATTGAAGAGTGTATTTATAAAGTAGTATGTCCAAAAAAAGACACCAGCGACCGTGTGTCACACAGCACACATCTGCAATCACTAACTAACGCAAAACTGACACGTGACTGTATGTGTGGAGTATGAGTTTACTGATGTATTTTCTTTGTTCTAAATAGTTGCATTGTTGTCATGTATGCAGTCTGATCACCCTTAATAGTCTCTTGATTAAGACGTATAGTAGCTTATGGCTCATGCTAAACCAGCCAGAAAACGTCAATCTCTCTCATGTGGCTCAATTGTTTCCCTAATGTTGTCACCACCTTTCTTTGGGCATTAAGAATTGCAACAGTCCCTGCTGTATGACGCACCACAGTCCTTATCCAATGCACATCCTCTAAACAGCATGGATCATTAGTTATGTATGGTCAGTCTTGAAATGAAACAGGCAACAGAACAGCCAAAGGATAAACTTACCGTTGCTTTTGAGTCGCCTTTAAATCATTTTGCAACTGTTTGCGTTGATTCCTTTATCCAAATTATCCTCAGCTGTCATCATTTCATTTGTATGACTTTTGGTCCTTCCACAAAATTGTCTTTTTCTCGTTAGAAATGCCAAATATTGGTTCCTTTGATCCGATGAACAGTCATGAAGGCTGAGAGACCCCTCAGCTCTTTCCCCTCTGGTTTGGTTTGTTGTTTTTTGACTCTGCCACAGCCTCTGTACACCTCCTGGTCACTGTGAGTTAAAGCGAGCAAGACTAATCAGTTCTTCTATTCACCCCTGGTGGCTCACAATTGTAGTTTCATCTCTTGGTTGTGTCTCCTCAGTTTGGCGTTGGGTTACAGGTGGCAGAGAGGAATACGACCACAGACGTTCAGCAGAGTTCTTGGTTCATGCGTCAGCTCTGATACTATCATTGTCCAACAGCCTAAGAGTGAGAGAGGGGGTTGGAATGGGTGGTGGAGGGGCATTAAATGCTTTCGCAGCTGCTGCCACTGCGAGCCACTACCTAAAAATACCGGCAGTTTCGATGACAGCAGGTCAGATAAAGTTAGGCCCTCCATTCACAGACCATGGCTCACTGAAGATAAGGGGGAGGCTGAGCTCTGCTATGGATCTCCCGGCTCAATAGATATCCCGAGTTAAACCTTAGAAAAGAAAGGACACTCCAGCTGCTGGGACTCCTTGAGTCATGAGTCACGCTGACCCACAAATAGGGTCAGACTAGAGTCACATCAATGTAAGAAAAGGAAATTTAAAAAACAAACTTGAACCTAAAACGATTTAAGCATCGCAAAAATCCTGATATCGTTTGTTGTATTTGATCCTTGAGATAAATTATAAGGCTTTGTAGATCTAAAAAACGACATAATTAAGTCAAACAGTTTGAAGCCTCCATGGGTCCTTAAGGCAAATCTAAAAGGTTACATGATGATTGAAGTAACACAGCTTTTCTTGAGACAGTAACTTTTTACCAAATTTCAGAGGGAGATATCAGTATTAAAAATGTTTTGGATCAAGCAAATCTATTATAAGATGAAACATTGGAAACCATCTGTGGGAATCTTCTGAATTTTAGAGTTGACATTAATACTGAAGAAAATGTGTTTATTCTTAAAAAAAAAAGAAAAACAAGGTCCTTGAGGGCTATTACAGCGGATGAATGTGAAATAGTTTGAGTAAGAAATAAAGCAGAACATTTTTTAGACCTAATTCTGAATAAATAGATAATTCTGCTTGATACTGCTTGACTAAAAAAATAAGGGCTTATTCTTTCTGCGTCTTCATCAACTGCAAAAACCATTGAGGCTTTTTTTCATGCCTCAGAAAAAACGTATTAACTGTAGCAGGAAAAAGGTTAAAACTGAATAAAGAGGACATTAGACAAGGCATTACAGCAAGTGGAAGTATAAGCCTTTTTGTAAGCTGAGACTGTTCTCAGGCATTCCTGAGATAGTGATAAGAAAAAGATTACCTCAGTGTCAAAAGAATTTAAGCCCATTATGACCCGATGAGCGCTATCCTCACTGGTTTCAATGTAATTTTTGCTGCTTTCATAGTTCAGGTCTGAACTAGAAGCTGTAAATTGAACAGATATGATTATAAATGCATAGAGAATAAAGTGAAGCAGGTTTTTGTCATGATAACACAGAACTCCAAAGCTGTTTGAAAATATCAGGATTTAACAATAGATTTACAAAATAAATTGCTATTTTTCTAGTTGCATTTCCCGAAGCAAGTGGTTGTACTTGTGCAGTTAACAGACTCCTACCCCCTCGCAGACTCCTGCAGATTTGCATCCGGTGTTGACAGTTGTCGCCTGCATTCTCAGACAATAACGCTCTCTTCAAGTGGAGTGTTTTGGACAAAGCCACTGATAGACGCTGCAAACTGTTGTCCCAGTTGTGTGACCTTCAGTGCCTTGGCATACCACCTTTAACAAAGATGTATTGAAACAAGTACCAAGAAGAGATGTTAAATCATTTCTAGTTAGAAGAAACTAAAATAACCTCTGATAACAAGCCCCTGTTATAAAACAATTTGCTAAATGAATAGCAGAGTCATTTGAAGGACTGACACCACACTAGTGGTTCCATTTAAAGCTGCTGGTACCTCTGACATCCATGCAGTCATCCCTGCAGCTGTTAGGTACGATGACTACCACGAATCAAAAGCACAGCACCGCTCTTAGTCATGAGATTGGGTTTCAATATCAAAAGCTGAAGAGGATTGACAGAGGCTGTAGCCTTTTAAATAGACGTCAATCACCCCTGTTTTGAGTTGAGGAAACCTTTACAAGTTAAATCAACCTCTTCTTACCAGAAATGAAGAAATCATTTTGCTTAATGTGCTTTTACTGATTTTTGGGGCAAAAAATTAAAGAAACTTGGTCATTGATATTTTTTAAGTTTAATGCAAAGCTGAAAGTTCACTTCAGCCAGTGTGCATCCAGTCTCCCTGTATCTGAACTGAGTGGTGTATCATAAACAGGCCGTCCACTGAATCTTTCAGGTCCAGGCTCTGCTGAGGTGGACAAGCTGGATTGAGTTAAAACAAAAACAAAGCAAACGTTGAAACTTTCTGAGTAAAAACTAAAGTAAAACTAAGACATGAACCCTGAGTTTGATTTTCTTCCTTTTTTAAACTTCAGCATTTGCATCATTGTCCAGCAGATGGGGCTAGAGATTTATTTAAACTGGCCTTTTATTTTTTTTTTTTTATATAGTCAACACAAACTCAAGTGAACTCCATACAAAATAAATGAAATACATTAAGGAGGCTCACTTTGAAAACCCACAACTCTGACCTCCCTAAGGGTGGAGGGCAGGATCATTAGTGAGTAGTGAAGCTCTGCAAATGCTCATAGCTATGAGGTCTTCTGTGTAAAGTCATTAACTGATACAGTTGAAAAGATTATTTAAATACACATGATAAAGGAACTCAACTCAGCTTTACTCAACTTAACTTTATTTATATAGCACTTCACACACAACTCTAAATGACTGGTGCTTAAGAATGTTACTTGTGAGCAGAGAAGAATGTGCAGCTTCTACTTCTTGCCATGAAATTAATTATTTCCTGTATGATCTTATCAAAGTGGAAAGTCTGGCTTCTAAATCTGTGAAAATGTTTTGGTCCGGGGGAAAAAAAACTGACCCCAGAGACCAGAAGAAGCTTGTTAAAGCGCACGTACACTCTTGAACGCATGATCCTATCCCTCCATATTTAACTTGATCTCTGCTGTGAGAGTGAGGGGTAAATGTATACTGAGAGAAAAGGAGGAGATAGGGAGGTGGGAAATGATATGGGGGGGAAAAAAGGCATGCAGAGAAGAGAATAAAGATTGAACATTCCTGTCAGGTGACCTCTGACATTTTGGCTCCTCCTCCTTCTCCCTGCAACCTGCAAGCATGCTGGGAGAATCAACAAGGGATTCTGGGAAAGACAGGAGGAGGGCTTTTTTAAAATACAAATAACATCTGTGTGTATGTGTGAGGCAGAAAGAGGAGTGTAGTCGAGCACACATGTTTTTTTGAAATGATTATTGTTGCATATTTTTCTCCTGGGAATAATTTTAGCTCAGATTAATCAGTTTTCCTGGATGTAGCATTGGTACAGCTTGTAGCGCGTAAATCTTCTTCATGTGGGAAAAGCAGCTTTTTTTTTTATTGTATTATTGGAAATGGAGTTTCCTGGTTTGAACTTTCCGTGGAACGTCTTCTATTTGTGGAGACAAGAGTCCAAGGGGCGCAGCAGTTGCTCTTAGTAAATTAAGCAATCTAAATCCAAAGTGATGGAACCTATTTGTGAGTGATGGATGAAAATGGTTTATTTGCACTTAAAAGCAAATTCAGTCGTTGCTTCTCACGTATCTAGTTTTGGAGTTGTTGATAAAAACCACAGAAAGTTTTGAAACAGAAAACTTTACCAAGAAAATAGTACCTGAAAATGAAACTGTGAATGGACCTGATTGTAACGTGAGAATTGACTGATAGTTGGTTTTGTTCACTGTTTAGCCAAATATATCTAAATTCCAACCTTTTTATTTGTACTTTTCTGACCTTGAAAGCTTAGACAATGATCTTGATTGGACAGAGTTGGCAAACGTATGACCAT